GAGTTACGGAAAGTTTAAAATGTCTGGATCCCTCGTAAATTCGTCCAATTAGTCGAATCACCAAAAAATTTGTGGAATATAACATCTACCGGTCGACAAATATGCGGTGGATCCTTTTGGTGAATCTGGAGAGGAGGAAGGCGCCTGAAACACTCGCTTCACTCGCGAAATACGACTGGAATCTATATTGGATATTATCGATATCTCGATCTATTCAGCCTGCTAATGGAAAACTTATGCTAAACTAACCCCTGTCGATCCATTATGTATCAGCGGAATCGGTCCTGGAATTGCTTAAGCGAACCATTTGCTACGTTTTTTGGCACATGTCTGACAGAAATAAACATTTTCACCCTGTACAATTCTGAAGGGTGACGATGACATTGCTTATTGTTTCCGGTGATAATGGTGGATTGATTAGAGAAGCTAATTGAATACTGAACATTTCAAGTAATTCCCTTTCGTTGTGAAAATTCATTCTAAGAAAATTTTAATTAAATCATTATTTGATTATAATTTGAGGATACGAAAGTATTGCAAACTGGTACTTATGACATATCAATTTCAAGCTCAAAATTTAATGAAAATGACTGTATGAATATTTCTTCAATATTTTCAAAATAAAATTATGGTATTTTTATTGAAGTAAATAAGGGATGAATTTACAGTTTACAATTAGTTTACTGTCATTAAATCAGACTTTCTACGTATTTAAATCCGCCATACGCAACAACCACTATCAGGAAACGATAATTAATCTCTGCTCGATCTTTTCGCGTCTTAATTAGTGCACCCGATGACATACATAAAAATTGAAAGAACGAAGGGGCGTATCTGGTTAAGAGGCAACGGGTGAGAGAGATTTCCCACCGGATCATTGAATGGTAAACCTATTTCACTATACATCGTGTATGTCGTTCGCTTAATAAGTTTTTCCTTATCGATGTGTGTCATCTAGGAGCAGGCAACCGAGACCCGTCATTATCGTCCATATCTACGCTTGATAGTTTTCATCATTTTCATCGAAAGCAACGGTGCTTACTTGTTACGTGGAAACATCATTAATGCAGCGCGGTCTAACATGTGTCGTTGATTGCACGCACTTTCACCTGATTAGCTTTTAACAGGACGTCAAAACGTTTCCGGTTTTTACTGCATGTAACATGTTTCGGTCCGACATTTTTAATACGTCTGTTATATTAATTACTTGTTTCCATTTTTCTGAGGCCAATTTAAAGTATCCATTGAATACATGTACTGTATGTCATAACTACATTGTGGATACTTAAAAATATAGAAACCTACTAATTTTTTAATTAAATGTATGATTTCCACGTAGCTTCATTTCAAACATATATTTTGTTCCTTTAAATATTTAAATTGGATTTTAATGACTGAAAAAATATAACATTCAAATAGAATATTTAACAAATGCTTAAGTTGAATAACGAAAGAATTTCCAATATTCATCAATAATAGCCGCAACAGAAATTCTCTGACCGCCCTTGATATCGAATCCATACTGATGGAGACGCGGCAAGGGTACGAGACAACATAGCACGATTCGGCCAAATTTGCATGCATTAACGCCACAAGCGCGACTGATTGACAATCCGTGTGTCATTGTGACGTCAGTCAAATCGCTCGAGCATCCTCCTCCACCAATCGCAATCAATTAAGGTAACGATTGATTGTTACGCGTTTCGACTCGACGAAGGGAATATCGCGAGCCGGTATTTATATGGATGATAGATGCCCCATTGGAAATCGTAATATCGCCATCAAACTGATTTTTTCACGTATTTAATACAAATTAATTAATAACATTGGTATTAATGTTCCTATTGAAATGGTAACGATTAACATATATATTAAAATATAATTGTAATAAATAATAAAAGAATTATAATTTGAAAGAATCAGAACAGTGAATTGAAATTTTTCCTCCCTTTGTATCCTCCCTTTGAAAAGCAGAGTAAAATTCATCGCGGCATTAATCGTGGCCGGTTGCCATTTTCCTGGTGAAAAATTCTCTCGTGTCGTCCCCTCAAAGAGGCCATACGTCCAGGGAAACGAAACGATCGTCGTCGCGCGCCACCCGAAATGGAATCCGTCAAATTGACGGAGGGTATATAGCATAGAAACGTTGAGGGTCGCGACGAGGAAGCGGTTGCAACCGAGCGGAGGGCACACGAGGGCTATGATCGATGCCACGAAATTAAGGGTTTGCCCCGCCAAGCGAAATAAAGTTAACCAATCGGGCCGACGTACGGCCCGTTCGAACGTTATTGGCTGCAGGCGGTTCCGGTTCGGGTCAACGACGACCCGATGCCCGATTTTTCTCGCGCTCTGCCGTGTTTTCAAGGAGGGTTACCAGCATGCTGATTGCAATTGGAGAAAGAGTGATATAGGGTGGAGGGACACGGTGAATCGAGGAACCTGGCCGGGTGAACGGGGGAGGATTTTCGTAATTATGGAACGGCGTTAGTCCCTGGGGATTCGTCAGTCGACGGCAGAGCCCCTGGAGCTGTACGGCCACGACAATGCCATTTTAATTATGCATGTTAATTGGTTTCCGAGTCCAGCGTAGCGCTAGCTTCTCTACGACTATTCTCGAGGTACGTCTCCTCATTGTATCGGTGATCGATGCGACGCGTGGATCGATCAATTTTGACTGGCCTCTAAACGGAACTTAAGCCTTTACGTTACAAATCTGACCCGATGGACCGTCACAGTAGAAAGGTCTATTTTTAGTCAGACGCGTTATAATTACAATTACTCAGCATATAATCATTTAATTTTTTAAAAGATCTGTCATTGCTAACTAATCGAGTAATTAATAATTTTCTCAACAATAGGCTTTCTTCGAGGAATAATATAAAAAGTTATTAATTTGACAAAATACTATTCATTCGACCTGTTCTTCGCTTAAAAGTCACTCTACTTATCAACTCCTGTAATCTAAAGAAGAATTCTAATTATCAGTCCTGCTTTCTTTCACCCTTGCCGGACTGTTCCCTTCAACGTTTGTTGAGGGAAAGTGATGGGGTGAAAAAATGGCCACGCTTAGGCATACGAAGCGCTTTTGTTTTTTGTCCTTTTTTTTTAGTAGTCAGATATACACAATTGATGGGGACTGCGCTGTACTTTCTGCACAGTTGAGTGAGCATGTCACAATCGACCAGGGCCACCTCAATCAAAGTGGCATTGATACCCTTCGCTCGTTCTCTCGATCGGGCCCTCGCGCTTTCCATTGCGGTTTTGTTCCAGACCGAAAATCTATTAGCCCATCAATGTACACATAGAAAGTGTACATATACCTATGTACAGAACGATTTGTAAAAATATTCCGACAACTAGTACGATCTTGACTTTTACAATACACACGTCCCCATTCCTCAAAAACATAGGAACACATGTAGTTTCAATTAACTACAAGTTAATTAACTACGAGGTAATTGAAACTACAATAAGTATGAAAATTAATTTTTAGAATACAGAAGAAAAAAATAAAAATGAAAAATGAATAGTAATGAGATTTTCAGCAAGTTCATTGCACCTGTCAACGTGTCATGACAAATATATTGCAGACATTTTATCCACCTGTATAAATGCATGATAAACATAATGCGTATGCTAACTGAATCTTGTAATCCTGTGAATCGTTCGTTTACTCGACGCTCGGCACGATCTACCACAAACCAAGCAAGAAACGTAGTTTAGGGCGGCGCTCGATGTGACACGCGACCGCAACGTGGTTGCATTTACATTATATCGCGGTTTATACGATGTTAGGTGCGTGCGTGTCTGCCAGCGAGCCAGCATTTTCGAGATTAATTTTTCTAATGCTCCGACGGACAAGTCTTCTTTCGATATAAATTTATTATCACACGACTAACACAGTAAGCTTAACCATCCCAGTAGTTCTCATAAAGGAAGAGAGATTGAAAATACGTAAATTATATAAAAATTGAAATTCGACTCTACTTTATACTCGAAAAAGGAAAAAGAGTAAATAAAATATTTTTAAAGATACTTGAACTTCAAAAATGCAAAACTTTGTATGATACTGCACCCTGTCAAATAAAGTGTCTATTTCCTGAAGACGAATAAATAACTTTAATATCAAGAATGTTCTACTTAAATCCAGTAGATAAAGAAGAAGACTTTGGGGTGTAGAAAAATAGTTAAAGGTAGAAGTCTGATAGGCTTTTCCTGTCACCTATCCTGCCAACACGTATCCTCCGAACGAGGATGAAAGCTGTAAGACGTGGTTGTATCGAAAACCGAGGGGTTGAGCACCCCTGAGCACAAGATGTCCTCCTGAAGACTATCTCGGCCTGGGTCCCGCGGGAAACCTCTTCCTTCCTACCGTTCCTATCTCAGGACACTCTATAGCCTATTCAGATACCGGGCTCACCCTGCTACTCGCAAACGTTAGCCAGCTTCCAAGTAAGAAGGAGAAAGACACCGTTAGGTAGGAAGAGAAAGAATGTATGTCCGTATTTCTAAGGACAAGCAGCACGACGTAGAATGCGAAGGTGGTATAAGGACGAGCGAAGCATTTGAGTGCTCTTACACCTACCAGCCTCGCCACACCTCGTAGGAAACGTATTTTGCAAGCCTAAATATCCCTGCTTCCTAGACGCTATCTCGCAGGTGGGTTCGAGAACGAGTTATCTGCTTCCCTTACTTCGCAGCTCGTTGCGAAGAACGATAGCAAGGGCGGTAAACTGATATCACGCTCGTTGACGTTTCTATGAAATCGGATGGCTTATCTCTGTTTGTCTATAAATGCCGAAGAAAGTGTCTGATAGAGCTTCTACCCACGAGGTTCAATTACGATTCGAGGTTCAACCAGGACCGCATTCAAATTTTTCTCATCCCTTGGCCCAGCGCAGGGTTCAAATGAAAATAAGTTTCTTTACAGAGTAAGCTTATCTGCTTACTAAATTAAAAAATGATGATCGCGTTAAAATTATGTAACAGATATCACTCACCGATCGATGATCACAGGATCGCTGGGTGTTTCGTTTCTGTTCCCGCAACTTTTCTTATCGCAACACCGACTGTAACGAAATGAAACAGATTAATTAGAGATAGATATGCATGAAAGTGTACGGAGTCTTTCTTAGGCTTGTTTCGAGAAGGGTCCAGAAGGGTCAGACCTTTCGAGGTCGTGTAAAAACTACCAGAACCCTTGGGACTTTGCAAGTTTTGGGGGTGCAGGGTCGTCAGTCCGAAGTCCCATGGGCCAATGAGTCAGCCACCCCCAGAGAATGACTGCACTCCCGTATGTCTCGTTACGTTTATAGTTTAGCTACCGCAAGGGTGGTTGCCTGAAGAGCAAGAAACTTGTACCACGAGCGTACATATTTGTTTGCAATAAAATCTTGGTTCTTAAAGTACATTTTTTAATAGAATTTTTATAATTTTAAAAAACAACTCACCTGCACATCACCTCGTGAGTCAGAAGGACCCTGCACATCTCAGGATTCTTATCTTGTCCCTCGTACATGATAGCCTGAAACAGAAAAAAATCATCGTTAGTATAATTTAATATTGTCATTCTCATCAAATAAATTGATGCTTTCAAAATATTATAACATGAATATTAAAAATATTAAATCATGAAGTAGGTATACAGAATATTTGCTGTAATAGAAAATAATAATAAATTAAATTTTCTTATCTTAATATATCCAAGGGACTGGTGGAAAATGTACATACATGTAACACGTCAGAGAACTATCTGTATGGATGCAGGTCGCGAAGGGACTGTTTCCCCTGTAACACTACTAAGCTGTGGGCGGCCTAAGCAAATCCGTTAAGCCTCCTTCACGACCTTCTGATTGATTTTTATTTAATGACAACACGTTGTTACCCTGTATCCGTGCACTTACAGTTGGGGAAGAAGACCTGGATTAGACTCAGAATAATACAGCGCGGATAGATAGCACGCCTTTGATCTTCCTAAATGAAATCTTCAGAATAGTATTTAATGGACGTTGAAACATATCATTCACACGGTGATATTATCGTCAAAATTTTTTATTTTCTTATTTATTCTTATTATTTTTATTTTGGTCAACATTAAATCCTTTTATTCTCCATGGTATCTTCCAAATAATAAATCGCATAAAATTAATTTATCCATTCTAAAAAAGAATTGAAATATTGATTTGCATTTATTCTACGTCAGACACCATTAATCGTATCAATTTCTGTATGCAATTTATGCGCAAGTTGCATCGTATCACGCGGTAAATTGCAGGAGTTTGCGAAGAAGCGATAAAATGTAAATACTCTGAAATAGCGTAACCCAGGGAATTGGTTTCGCCGTGAAAGTGTAGTTGAATCACTACGCGGTAACGATATCAAAATACATTTCGGTTCGCCAGTTAGGTGCGACTTTCAGAACGGCATCAAATATTTATACGAACAAAATAACCAAATTGAAACGTAAACGAAGCACGATGGCTGTTCTACGTGGCGGTAGGTAAATCAGAGGAGAATCCCCTACCTTCGTCGAAGTGGAAACTTCAAGCCCGGAAAATAGGGGGATGAAAATAAACATGAATAAAGAGGTAAGTGGATCGAAGAGCAGAAGAGGAAAGGCACTGTGTTTCCTTATTGAAGGAAAGCGAAAGGGAGGATAAAATCTTACGTGCCCTTTGGTTGTTTCCTATTCTAATAGACCTCCGACACGCGATCTTATTTGTAACCGGGAATAATTAACATAAGTGTCTACCTTGTACGCATTAACCTTACCTACAGAGAGACAGGGGTTGTAGTTACTTAAACAAACGAATTTTTTTTTTTTTTTACTCGTGACTTCATCGAGAGATACTCGATCTTAATTTCAAGTTTCATTTTCAAGAAATTATTATTACACTCTGTGAAAAATTAATTAGCAGTGGACAAATGAATGTAGTCACACTGATAAGGTATCAATTATGACACTTAATTACATAAATTTAAATTACACTTTACACGCTCATGTTCCTAAACAAACTAATAGAGTCCTCCAAGGGTGATAATACACATAGTGTGCTAATGCCAGGTGTACAATAATTACTATTTATACAGATAACGACCATTGAGCAAATTATGTCCTATGTCCAGCTTATGAAATGTCACACGATATTATTTGCACAGTGGTCATTTATCACTGCTGGGAGGAGTTCTGTTGATTTTGCAAATAATTACTTTTTACCTTTCGTCCATTCTGCAAAATGCTGAAATGCTGAATGTCATCAAAATATTAATCTACACAGTAATTTGTATGTCTTATGTCATAAAATGTAATTTTCCTGCAAATCGTTCGTAATATATTGGTTACCTTTACCATTTATCGAATTTCGATGGCATCGTTTCACATCAGTAATCTGAAGAAAAGTAGTTCAAGGTTGTAATAGGACCGATTCACTGATCCCAAAAGAGATTTAAATGCAATTAGTCGAGTAACGATTTGTTGCCTCTGTATGGACTGGTCTGGTTTGGTCTGGTCTTTAAAGCGACACTGTTAGAGTTACATCTCTTTCATCGACACACTTATCCATTAAATATCACGTGGTTATGTCGTCGAACGTCTCAAGGGGTAGTTGGTTCAAGTAGGTAGAGGGTGGCAGACGACTCGTCCTGAGGGTGCAACCAGTCAGCATCAACCCCTAAGGGGCCTTTCTTCCGTTGGCTTTTGGTCCCAGTAGAAACGTTTGGGCCTCCCCCGAACCTCCAATTCCCACGGGAATTACTTACGAAGGATTAATAAGGATAACGCAACATCACCTCTAATTTTTGTATTTTTAACATCATATGTATGGGCAAACTTAAGTACAATTTAATTAAATTAAAATTTCTTTAATTTCGAAAAATTCTTAAAACTCTTGAAGGGTTAATTTGTGTAACCCTTAATTAATGTGGATTAATTTGAAAAAAAGTTTATAAAATAACATGAAAGACAAAATATTTCAATCACAAAAGGTCTATGTCTGGAAATAATATTTCATTAAGTATCAATATTATTTTGTTATTTTAAAATAAACTCAAAATAGAAACTTAAGTTCTATTAACATTTTAATAATATTGTACTTTCAATGAAAATTTGATGAAATTCCTTTCTCGAAAAATCAAACAATTGACGGAATATGGATTTTATGATTTACCATATGCGTCCTGTATGATACAAAAATAAAGTAAAAATTTGCAAAAAAGACCAAGGACTTTGCATACCCCTAATAAATATAATAATAAAAAAGTTGTTATCGACGAAAAATGAACTCGAGTTCGGTAACATAACCGTAACATTGTTCTCGACGAACCCTCGAAGATGGCAGTAAAACAAGGAAGAAAAGAAGTGTACAGGGAGAGCGCAGATAAATTCCGAAGATAGTCATTCAAATCTGCCGTAATGATTTCCATCCCAAATCGATTCCAAAAGTCCCCTGGGAATCCCTTCCTATACAGCCTCTGTGCAACGCCCGTAGTCTGACGTATACACCACGAAACAACGTGCATACAATGTCAGTCTCACCCTCTGAAAAGATGTCCACTAACATAGGGGTAGGCGAACCTATTCTCTTTCTCATCTTATCTACCAAGGATTAACTTATCTCCAACTCATTATTTCCTTAATCTATAGTTAAATACTCATATTTCAGTATTATACATGACTGTTTGACATTCAGGGGGTTGATACCGGATTCGATTTGGTAACGTTTTGAAATTTATGGTGTCCTTCGATCTTAAATCATATTTTAGCTATTTTCTAGCATACGTTTGAAAATAGTGATTACGATTATACAACTATTCCATAAAATGATACCAGTGTTAGTATTCACAGGATCTTTTTTAATATTTAAAAAATCAAAAGAGGGAGGTTTCAGACTGATCATTTTCAGTGGCGGATGAGAGTAGAAACTTAAAAGGGTTACGTACAATTTCTTGTTGTTTATTCATTTAAAATAACGAGGGTGCGCTGCATCCTCGATACCCTCCGCCTGTAACTGCTTTTTTATCCCCGGAACTAATTACCATTTAGCATTTTTAATCCCGCGAAAAAGCGCATCCCAGCCCTCCCACTTTCCTCTCTTTCTGGCCGGAAGTTCGTTCTCGAGCGCTTACAAAACGTACGTTGTTAGCGCCATTCAGCCGCAGCTGCACGCTACCCTTTGCTTCCGCGCAAGCTGCTCGTATTTTTCTGGAAATTTCAACGAGAAACGCACGGCAGTTCTCGACATCCTGTATTTTTTTTTTCCTCCATCCTTCTCCACCTCCGCCTTCTACTTTCTCGTTGAGAGTGCTCCCGGTACTCTCTGCCGCTCCGCCAGGCGAAAGTAGATATAGATACCTACCTACCTTGAAGCTAGGAGCGAAGAAATTGAAGAACAGCTTAAGAGCGGAAGGGCTTCGCCATGGGCTCAGCAGCCAGCTCAGTGTAGCCAATTATTGCGGATTTATAACCGACCACTTGATTCAGTCTCGAGGAAAGTCGGTCGCATTTCCGAATTGGAATTTGTGAGCCGTAACTCGACGTTCGTCTATGAAATTTTTCTTACGACAGGGAGATAAATTCAATTTATGAATTTGGATTTGAATCAGTTATAGATCTTGGGCCTATATAATATTTTCACTAATTCCTTTTCAGTAAAAATTATTTATTTTCATCCGTATCTGAAACAATGCATCGTAAACAACGAAACGTTGCATGGTTTATTTTTTTCTCCAACATGCTTTAATCCACAGAACGGTGAAGGTTTGTTAATTTTGTAGGGTACGATACAGGGTAAGAACACGTGAAGCTAGATTTGCTAAACACTTCGTACGAGTTGTTGCGCGAAACTCCATACACGAGCAAAGTAAATATATATCGATTCTCGTGTCGGTATGTCTTCCTCTCGCTTTGCCAGAATAGAGGAGACGCGTTCAATCGAGGCTTTGATGTATAAATTGCAGCTTTCTCGTTTTCGATCCCACCACCCCATCCAACTTTCTACTCCCTTTACTGGCACGATACCTCCATAGAGACGGAAAGGGTATCCCGGCATCTATCACTTCCGCTTTTCTTTTCCTCGTGGACAATCGTTCTAGAGAACTATCGAGGCGTTTACTTCGCTCAAGATTCCGTTTCATTCGTTTACCGATGTTTCTATTCTCCCCAAAGCTGACTACTTATATTTTTCACATTTTTATCAAAGCCAGCCGCAATAAATGATTCAAAAATAGTCTGAGTAAAAACTGTTATTTTTTGCCCTTTTAATAATCCTTTAATAATTTTGAAATATTTTCAATAATATAGTAAGCAAAAATATTTCAAACACGGATTATCTAATTTGAATTGAAATGTTTAAGAGAAAAATCAGTCTATTTATGATCAATCGACAAGGCGTCAACAACCAGGATAATTGACACGAATCTCCGACACAATCAACCCGTTAAGTTCCCGCGCTCCTTTCCTCACGGTTACTGTTTCCGCACGATGGAACTCTTCGAAAGTAGTCGCAGTGACGCGTTCCCGCCGTTCAGAGTGTTATCATCTGAGCTACAAGCACTTAATTTTCCGGGGGGTTGATTCCTACCCCAACGGGATCCAGCCACCGGCGTGCGTCTGCTCCATCCTGTTATCTGCGCCACGTGGCGAACCCTGCGCACGGTCCGCGAACCACGTGTTGTTACCCTGTACACAGTAGCGTAGATCCTGCTGCACCGATACCGTGCAAAGAAGGATCATAACCTTCGAGTAAACGCAAATACCCCGATCACGAGCACGATAAGTCCTTTATGTGTTCGAGGGTGCTGTTTCGACTACTAAGCATTCCTGCGAAAAGCCTTTCGCGCCTACCAATAGATAACGAACAGTAAACAAATTCCTATTGTCAATGAAATCGTTTCTTGGAACCTTCAATCAAAAAATCTACGATTGGATAATATTCTATGACTTAGCTTTTATTTATTTATTTAATGTTTAAAGTATCGATTAGATGCATTCATTTTCAGTGGTATATACCTATGATTTATCAGACCGTGTTCAGTATTTTTATTTCTTTGCAAAAATTAATTATATTACAGTGAAAAGCCTAAATTTAATTATAAACGTTTTAATATTGGAGTGTATTTACAAAAATTAAAATAAACATGTTAAATATTATTTGTTGTTTTGAATATTACCCTATTTCAAAAAAATCCTTATTCCATTTTTTCATAATTTTATGTAGCACCACTATTGATAGTGCAAAGATTTTATTTCTTGAAATGATTATTTTAAAACGACCCGATATTTACATATATAGGGTAGATTAAAGTAGATTTCATAGTATGGACTTATGTGTCTATTGTGCAAGAGATGTAGTTACTTTTTTGAATTATTTTGTTTCGTGTCGCGACCCCCGGCTCGTAAGTGCCTATAGGTACCTGCACCATTTTAGCAGATTAAATTATCTTGGGGTTGGTCGGTTACGGAGGTAAGAAGAGCAGTAGGGAGAAGAAAGAGGCGACCGAGAACGAAGAGGGTTGGGGAAACAGAGCTGATGTTAGTTTTAGCTGATTAAATTACTAAGCTGTGGTGGCCTTGCGTCGGCAGAGACCGTTCCTCAATTCCTTTTATTAATCGGATCCGAGTTGTCGTGAGGTTGAATATCTTTCACAGACAAACGACTCTACTATGCGTTAAACTACACTTAGAAGAATATAAAAGATTGTTTCTATCGAGGACTTGAAAAAGATCAGGCCAAACGAAAATGATCAGTCTATTTTATGAAACGTATGATATAATATTGATTATATCGGTAATTAGTTAAAAAATTAGACTTAACCCAGACCAGACTTCTGTCATTAAAAATAAATTAGTTATTCGAGTAATTTATTTTAAATACCTAACCTTGTGTATCCAACCTTATATAGAACTTGCTGTATCATAAAAAACATGGAATTTATAATAAAAAAAGGTAATGATCCTTACCTGTTTGGTGGCAGAGTCGATGAGCCTGACGTAGATATCCTGCACCTGCCTGACACCTGAAACAGAGATACAAAATTGTTATTCTCACTTGTGTACAAATACTTCATGTTACCATCAAGCCTTTTAATTAATTGTTCATTAAAACATTCAGATTTCAAAATGAATTATTTATACCCATAACGAGGGTAACTTGTTCTTGTAACTTTGAAATAATTTCGGAATGAAGGACTTAAGTACCCCAGAGGGAAGCAGTGGCAAAACGCTCGAAGTTTGCAAAGAAAAATAGTTATGCCCTTTTTCGGAACCGAAAACAGTTTCGCATACACATTTTTTTTTCTCTCTCTTTTTCTTATCTTAATATAAAGACAACGCTGCTCTTTATTCAATTTACCAGGAGTGTTTTTCAATGATACGGTAAGAAGGCCCCATTAAGTTAAGAGCGTTGCGCGCAGGCATTTGCGACGGATGTGCATGGAATACGACGAATACGGAAACGAGTCCGAATTCTGACAAGTTCGGCGCCGCTGAAAGGGTCTGTCGCAGAAAAACATACATATTAAGGAGCATTTAAGGCTGACGACGAGGTAAGCGGGCCCGATCGCATCCCCGGGGACGTATGCACAATCTCCGTTGTTTTTGCATGGGCCCAGCCCGTACTTTGTACCCGTTCGAGTACCGACTTCACCGTGCGGATCGCTATGCAACGAGCCACGGCAGCAAGGCAAATTCTTGTACGTGTAGTGCGTTAATTATTTTGAAGACTTTAGTTACGCGAGACGAGCCGTTTTCGCCGCTTCGAGGAACTTGAACATCGCGAAATAAACGGGTATCCTTTGATTCATGGACGTGCTGCCATGGCTGACCATTGGAAGGCTGCTGACCCCAATCACTTTCATAATTTCGTTTTGTACTTCAAAAGGTTTATTTAAATTAGAGAGACCTTTAGGAATCGTGTCATAAATTAAATGTTATAAGAAATTATTTTCTCTGATTTTCAGTACGTATCACAGTATCGTTTACTAACGATTACAGATAACCGATGTTTACACACATTCCTAGGTAGCAAGTTTTCGGAACAGTTTCTATCTTGCCGAGGGAAGGACGGGTAATCCCGGGGAGTATTTTGGACAGACACCCTCGTGGCTTCCGGCCTCCCGTGTCCGGTAAGCCAAGTAATCCCGACATAAGACTCGCAGACCCGGCGGCTACCTATGGGGCCAGACTCGTACCGCATAACGTTACCATGGATTACGATACTACGCTTGAAACTAGCTCACAAATTACCTGGAGAAACCGTCGTGGCTTTACCAGAAGTTAGTCGCCAGTTCCGTCGGTTTTGCTGCTCTCTATATCCGGTTCGAGAGTAGCGATGTCAGGATTTACCGGCTACAATGGAACGTCGATTATAATGGTCTGATTGGAAAACAACGACGATCCATTGTTAGATGTTTTCTTGCCGATCGGAAAGGATTCACGTCGTTACAGTGGAATGTTGACCGTGGTAATTATTAGAGCACGCATTTATATCCTGTTCTTCGAGTTTTCAAGTTTCTTTTGTGATCTATGGTGAAGCATCTGAATCGCTGTTTTATCGAACAACTGCCAACATTTGCTACTATTTCTAATGGAATTATATTTCAACCCTTGGACGGCGGACCATAGAGAGAGGCAGAATTTTGTATTTTAAATTATTTTCATTTCCAATATATGATACTTTTGTTTAACTTTACGATTGATGCCGTATTACGCAAAAGGTATCTTGTCCATTCCTCCATTCCCGAAGCCCTGGATATGTAAAGAAGATTCCGTATAAAATCACTTAGATCGGATGCATCTTGAATAATCACAATTACCAGCATGAGCGAGTTACGCGTCGCTTAAACGTGTGGTATATCAGAGACATTGGTGAGTCACGATCAGTGGCTTGGAATCGTGGCAATAAAGTTAAAAGGAAGAAGAAAAGAAGCGAAAGCAAGAAGCGGTATCGCGTGCTAAGTCCTGCTGAGAAGAGTCAGATAGATCCGTTCGTATTAGCATAACTAGGCAACCAAGTTCGTTTTCTACAAGAAGCGACCGAAGAAGCAAACACCACCCATTTTATTCGTTCGATCGGCATTCTTACCAGCCGTTAATACTCCTCGAGTCCGACTTACCCGTTCGCTCTATTTGCACGACTCGTTTCTCTTTGTCCATCTCTCGAGAGTGCAAGGACATTGGCAAAGAAGACGACGAACAAGAAGGAAAGAATGGACAAGGAAGAGAAGAAACCGATCGAGGGAAGAGATCAGAAAAAGAGGCAGAACCTGATGCAGAGAAACTCTGCCGTCACTTGCGCGTATAAACTATCTTCCTCATTTATTATTTAATTATAGATTTATTGGTCTCGGCCGATTGATCGGTGACGCGACAATGTGCCGATACGATTAAGTAACCCGGCAGAATCCGATGGAAGAAGACGGGACGTGCAAACTCGCGCCAATTTGTCTTCGGTGATATAAAAGCGAACCGGCTAAAGCGTTTCATGCATGAAACTTTTATAGAGCGCATCTCGGCTGTTCGAACAGAAGACCAGATCGAGGCATAAATCAGAGCCGTGCCGATCTACCGATCCACTCTTAAAGGACATAAGCGGCACTTCCAATAGGAGACGTATGGACCTCCGTTGCGTCCGCGATCTTTCCTTGAAATTCTTGCCTTTTTCTCATTGTCCCTATATCGATGACTGGCAATAACTGCGAATTACTTTCAATATTATATGTCCCTGGAAGAGTGTAAAATTGTGCAACTACCAGTCTGACGTTTTCGATTTATTATTCCATAAATTCCTGGTGCAACCTAAACCTATCTTTTAAAACCGATGGACGAATCCTTCGCCTCGAATCAAATTCCAATATACCAAACTGTCCGATTGTACCTCGAAGAATAGTGTTCTCTGGTATTCTGAATAAGACACGAATGGGACTGCATGACGGTGCTTGGAAATACGACATTGTTTATCGAAACGAGAATTAAGATGGGTTGACTTATCACGTTTAGTACCATTTTTTTTTTTTAATTTATACCAAGTCAACTACCCAGTCAGTCAGAAAACTATCCAGTGCCCATAGGTATCCCATAGTTCGCAATAGTTAGTTTCTTGTTGTACGTTGTTGGCAACATGGTTTAGCGTCCATAGATGGTAGTTCGGCCCCTCCAGTTAGCTCTGGCAACGCAAAAATCTCGCATTGATTGATCGGCTCGCAACAGCAGAGCGCAAGAAGGTTCTCTGTCGCATGAAACGACGGTAAAGAGAAAGGGAAAGATAACGGGCGAGAGAAAGAGGCACGAGTACCGGCAAGAAGCGGAGATAAAGAAAGCATCACGGGAGGTTGGCGTTGTTTCTGACGTACGAAGAGTGAAAAACCGATGGAACTGGAAGAGCCAAGAGATAGCGCCTTGCGACTTTTTAATATGTTCATAATACCAACATGTTTTTGAGGGGGATCTCTGTTGCGCGGACCACCTTCGGATCATCGACTTCTTCTACCCCCTTTTCTCCTTTCCCTCCCTAACGCTCGCGGCACACAGACGTTTTCGATGCTTCTTCAGGACGGAAGCTCGAGCCTTTTTGCCGGGACCCATGCCGGCCCAGTGACATAAAATATGTCTCTGTTGCGCGGCCGGGCCTCGAAAGTTCCTGAGATTTTTAGTGGCCCTGAGAGACTGGGTGTCTGTACGGAATGTTGATGGCCCGTCGTCATCGTCACTTCGAATGGGCCTATCGAACGCTCGACACTCCGAACATTACGCATTCGCAGATTGATGTTTCGACAAACGCATATTTTTATGAAAGAAATTCATTTCACTCACCATTGGAGTAAAGCAGATGCAGGCTGTACTGAATCCCATTATTCGTCTTTTGACCCTCGGATTCCTAGAAAACAAACACACACTTCGCTTGAAATATATATTCTCTCAATTTTTAGGAAATCATAATTTGTTACGATAACAATATCAAAAATATTTTTAAGCAAGAAACGAAAGAAAATTATATCCGCATTCTCTGATCAAGTGTGAACTTTTTATTAAGCAATATAAATTATGTACTTCAATATCAAGAGATTCATTCATCAACTCTTTATAAATGATGTTGATCCTAGCTAAATCTCGTTAATCACACCGAATTTCGTCGTTTAAATCGCCTTAAACGAAACAGCGGATGAAGGAACGGAGATTCATTGCTGCGTTCTTCGCGCCCCGTTCTATTTTAATTAAGTGCACTGTGACGCAACTCTTGAACGTACTCCACCTAACGCTAATTATTAATTTCTTGATGTGCCGGTAAGAGCCGTGCCATTACGTATGGCGTGCGATGCGTAATTATCATGCTGCCCGGTTGACGAGTCATGGCGTGCATCGCGCCATATGCCGCAGCCGCGGTAATGCATTTTCAACTACCCTTGGAACAGCCACGATTCAACAACCCTCCTGGCCACGATTTTTAGCTGTGCATACAATCTTTCGAATCGGTAACAACCGGCAAGAAACGGATCGATTTGACGGGATATTAACGTAATTACTTTGGACCTAATCAGTTGGCTACGCGTCAGTCGGTTAAAGAGCACCCTTAACATTTTTTTATTAATTTTTGAAAATATTATTTGCGTTATCAATGGATTGAGTCTTGATCATTTTTAGCTAATTTAGATAAAAATAATTCCAAGTTACGTCTACTACCCTTAATATTTTATTTTTGCTAGCTTTAATACGATATCAATTAGGTATCCGATTTTTTATATAATTATAGTAGGTAACTCTACCATTTACCATCGCTAGTATCTATACTCTATCATTTACTCTATCAATGTAAACGAGACGTTATTGACAAGCCCCCTCGCAAAACGCTCTTCCTTCGCAACATCAGAAAACCCTGATTACGGTACCTTGGATGATCTAGTCGTTAGTTCGTCGTCAGATCGACATCATTCTTCCCTTTTTCCTTCGATCGAGTGTACGTATTAAGCTCTTTCCTGTCATCGGCTTTCGTCACAGCCATTAATCTCTAAATTCGCAGCCGCACGATATACGCGCGGGTCAGCCGATCTGCTACGACTACTTTTTAATTAAACACGAATAAAAAGCGGAGAGAACGGAGAACGGACGTGGAGACCCTGTATTTACGTAGGACACCAGTTTCCCGGAACTGGTATGCCTGCCATCGCGCAGACACGCTCTATTTACTGGCTTTCATGTTACGATTCCTGGCCAATGATAATCGGCCGATCGATCCGTTGACCGTGCATTAGCACGTTCGAACCGGGGGCCATTTTCGTACTCTTGCTGATCAGTCGCCATTTATTCACTATGTTGTATTTTTTGGAAAATTTCATTCTTTAATAATGTAGTCCTCGTTAAGAAAACAAATTGGAAACTCGAAAATTGAAAATTAATTATTCCGCCTCTGTTACCTATATTTTATAAAAATTTGATTTCTTTATATTTTTAATAATTAAAATAGGAAATTTAAGTTAAGGTGGCTCATCAATGGATTACTTCGTCTTATGGGTTAAGATAATTCTGACCCATCATGGATGGCTCTGACAGAAGTGCAGTACGTGACCGACCGACGGATCAACCCCGGTTGAACTTGTTAAATAATTGACTTCCGTAAAAATATGTTAATGTTTCTCTATCTCGATGCAGAGTCAACGAGGGCGAGAATAGGCGTAGGTGCGCTCAGGCCACAAACGGCTACTCGACACCGGGGCTGATCTATGTCCGTGGTGCATGACCCTAATTAATAGGGAGACTATGCAATGCAACTGTCCTGTTCGTGTGAATTATACATAGACGTGCTCTTACAGGGGACAGGGAGGAATGGAGATATCTGGATAAGCAAATCGAAGCTAAGGAATAGGAAGTAGGTACTCTTGTCCGTTGGTTTATGAATAAACTGATAATTAATTTTAGGTCCTAGTGTAAATGAATTTGGATATATTGGATAATGAATCGAAAAATACATCCAAGTTGGTAATCAGTTTTTAAATTGAAGTTTCGGTGTTCACGTTTATTTGAACACAACTGGCTACTGGTTGTTAGGAAGGAAGGGATTCGCGTCCATTCGCGTGGCCGTTTGTCCATTCGAACAGTCTCTCCGTGTGTAGAGATTTCTCTTACGCAAGAATGAACGCTGAACCGCGTGTGGCAGTCAGCTTTTCCTTAAATAGCTATACTAATTGACCAATAGAAAGTGCAGTTCTAACGATGACCGCGCTGACAATCGTGTCCCGTTCCGAGCCGTTCGCACGGGATCGCGATAGATCTTTGAGCACGAGTCAAATATCATTTCCGTTGATGACTTCAGTTTCCTGAGCAATCATTCGAGATCGTATACCTCGATTGTTGTCATTAAACTTCTGATATTCGTGCATTTATACGACACCGGGGTACGGAAACGATACGTAAAGTCTTATCATTTTTATTTGCAAATTGAAATTTTCTTTTTTCTCATTTTTTTCCAAATAACATGCATTGTTACTTTGAAAAGAGAAAGAGATGGAAACTTTCAGGAAGAATTATGAAACCAGAGTTATGAATCAATCTCAAAGGAAAGCTGCATAAAATTGATTGCTCTTAATTAATGTGTTCTGAGAAAAATGTAGAGATCAAGAAAACGGAGCAGGTCTAATGACTTCATTCGCGGAAATTCTTGTTTTTATTTAGTGCGATGAAAATACATTAGAGTGTGTATTCGAATTGCGATTCAATTGAAGACAGATACGTCGAACATAATTCAACTTCTATCAATCTTTTATTGCAACGATTGCTGCAGAATATTTTAAATTCAATTCATATTATGTAATTCTTTATTACGGTAATAATAATATCATATTGGTCGTTATGATGTTTAATAATAATTTGAAATAAAAATTAATTGTTAGGTATTCAGAAGACTATACAATGATTTCAATAACAAATGCTCGACAAGATAAGATCATCGATAGAAAAGGAAACCTATTATTTGTTAGGTGGTTCGCGTGACCACATTGGATGCTCCTACGATCGCGTCCGTCCATTTCTCACACGGCCAATGGATTTTCGCTTGTCGGCCTAATTGCTGGAAAAGCTAGAGGTGTATCCTGCCGACTATCGATACGCACAGGCGAAGCCGTTTAATATTTGACGTCACCCCCGATAGAAACGGCAATTATCGAGATAAGCGTACGCTCGCACGATATTCCCCGATGTCATAAAGGTCCACCTCACCTTTTTCCATTTAACCTCTCGAGAAAACCGCCACTACTATGAACATTGAAATTCCGATGTTGTCGGCGTCTTTTTTAATTCTATATCGATAAATGTACGCGATTTCGGATCAATTTTCATACGGATTCGGAGTAATATTTTAAAACTAAACTTGTTAGATTTATTTTTTTTAGTTGATTATTTTTTTAAGTAGAATCATCCTCTTCCGTTTGTACCACGATTACTAGGATACCTTGTACGTTATGTATGTATTGAACGCGTGCAAGATGTCAAAAATGTTACCTGATCTTTTTCGACGAAACCCATGAAGGAGGTCCTTTCTATCTCGATCGGTTGACCGTGTCGATCGTAGAGAGCGATCACGAAATGGAAGAAGTTACTTTTCCTCAAATTACTTGGTGGTTGTTTCTCGAAGTGTGCTCTGCCGACTCCGACTCTGAAATTCATATGAAACCCAAGTTTTTTTATTATTAAGTTTCGATGCTATAATTTCTAAAAAATAAAATCATTAATAGCAAAAATAATAATTACAAGTAGCAAATTTAATAAAAAAAAAGTTTCCAAAATTTACCTTAACATCTCAACAAGGATAGACAGTGCATATCCAGCTGAACAAAGGATGTAGGATACCAAATTCGGATGTCAAGGACGAGATTCGGTAATGTAGGGTCAGATAGATATGTCCTACTCGGCCTTGAATGCAATAAGAATGCCGAAACTAGTAGAGAGGAAAGACAAACGAGATTGTCCGTGGGGGAACACGCAGGTGGCCTCGACGCCTTAAAATCCCATTAAGGTCTCATGTGCTGAGATTAGGCCACCGGACTCCAATGCCATCTTTGAGTAATGGCACGGAAAGTCCCCCTTTTCCGGTGTGCTGCTTTTGCACCGTCTTTCTATCTGACTACATTCGGGATTGATCTTTTAAAACATGACTTTTCACTGAGCTACCTGCTACCATGTCTTTTCTGATTACCCTTAACCATTCGAGTATTCCTCAACACAACTGTGCTACCCTTATTTCATATCAAGTCATCTCCAGAGTCTCCTAAAGTGAGAATTATTCTCATCCACGCAGAGGGGTGCACGAGAGTCGGTTTGGCGACGCAACGGATGTGTTGGCTCAAAGTTACGAGTGCAGAGAGGGTTAAAAAGCAGTGCGTAGAAATTGCATTATCGGAGAGAACGGCAAGGACCCGTCGTTACCACCGCGATCGGGATTCTGCGGTGGCGGTGGTAGCGCTAAGCGATAAAACGATCGCGCGGGTGCGCAGTGGCACATCAGGGCGGACTCTCGGAGCGGAAAACTGAATCGACTGGACCGAAAATGAATAGCGGCAGTTTTGCAGCACATTTGCGAAATAAATGATGGTATCGGCGGTGCGTTTGTCACGGCAGGTGGTGGGATGTCGGTCTGCCGGTAGGCAGAGGAAGAGGAGGCGGTGGCGGAGGAGGAGCAGGCTACAAGGGGTTCGTCAGCAGGGTATTCGAGAGCGTTAGGGTGGTAGTGGTGGTGAATCGAGTGCAGTGAGGGGTTTGTTCAGGGGGGGAAAGAGGGCAAACCGGGCGGCAGAAAGGGTAGGAGGGGAGTGATGTACTGCCCGTGTCGATAATTATCGGTGGCTGATTAACCGGCCGCCGGTTCGCGCCCCATAACTCTCGACGTCCGATTATTTTGCCCCGTTTGCCATGCACCAATTCCTATATAACGTGTTAGGCACGTCCTGCCGCACCGTTACATTATCACCTGCGGTGCAATACTGTCGCGCACCTTTTTGGAAACTATTGCCAGCTGCGGTGGGCCACAGCTATGCGGTTTTAAGATCATACTCGTTAGAATGACAATGACATTTTGTCAGGTAATAATATCGTGATGGGTCATTCTATAAGTAGTGTCATTTTTCTGAAATCTAACTTTAAACCGGATGCCTGGATCTTTTATAATATTAAAATAATATTAAAATAAAGTAATTGTGCTTATGTTAGTCAACAATGTTTGGAGATGAAATATTTCAATTAAAAAACCAGTACTGTACTAAAAAAGAAAATGAAGAAATTTTTTATAAAGTTTGCTTAGTAAGGGAAAAAAATTTCAACGAAAAGATTCCAACAGTAAATGCAAACCGTTTGCGATGTTTGGGTAAAAGAGATGGTTTAAAAGAGGAAAACCGTGAAAATACACAGCACATGTGGATGGACAGTGGATCTAGGGGTCGAGGCAATTTAACAGCGCAGTATAATTATAATCACGCGGTGAGAGAGCGCTTCAAGCCAATATTCCTCTATTAAGCGGCTATTTTTCGCGTCATTTCATATTCTCGCCGCTTGTTAAGCGTGTCCAACATTTAGGGGTCGTATTATCTATTCACCTGTCCACATTGTTGTACCTCGGTCAAGTTGAAATTGGACTTTTCGACAAACTTTCGTAATCAAAACGTACAGAACCATTCAATCATATTTATGCTTGGAATATTCAAACACATATCACTTCTATTTATTAGATTTATGGTAGTGAAATTTCTTTAATTTAATTTATGAAGTCGAAAATATCATTTTCACTTTTACTTTTAAATACTATTCTAACACGCTAATTGCCATAGCGAAAATGTTCCATGGTCAGTTCAATATCAGAAGGATTAGAAATCTGTGAAATCAACGATTGTAGTTGAAACGAGTCGGCATAGAAGTGATAATTACAGACTGGATTCGCGAGTACAATTTGCCACGCGCCTGTTTTCGGATAAAAGATAAGGTTGATCGGTGGCAGGCAACGTGCCGGTGCATTAGGGCCTCGAGGCATTGCGATCTCTGCTGCATTACTTTTCTTTCGCGACGACTGAAGCAATGCTGTATTTCGATCCGATCCGATCCGATCTGATTGGCCGACAAAGATAACCAAATACGCGATCAACGCGCGCCAAATAGGCAAATGAAGATGTAGGACGCGATAGGTGTCTTTTTCGCGCGATACCAGTTTTTCGTTGCACCCATCCCTGGGTCCAGATGTTACAAATACAGTTCTGCTAAGAAAATGGCAATTTAAGGAAAAGCGTGATCGAAATGAATTAGCTGAACGAGCGGCCTCTACATTCGATGGAATTACAGTACCAATTAACAAGTAATCGTGATAAATATGGTTGCGATATGGTTACATAAAACATTTAAAAATAGGTAAATTTTGACTCTTTCAAAAATACAATATAAATAAATTGTGCAACAAATGAAAACCGTCGGCAAAAGTGGATAGCAATTTTTTTTTTTTTGTTTGATTTATCAGTCATTGGATAAATATTGACACGCGGGCAATTTGAGAGCGCAGATCGTCGAATTAACCAGTGGATGCTGGTCTATACTTTACAGAGGGGGTCGCAACCTATGCTATTTGCGCACAATGCATTACGGACGAAATATGCGGATAATACGAAACCACGGATACGGTTACGAATTCGTGGATAAAGCAATCGCGGAGAATTACAATAAATCCGCAGTTAATGTATACCAGCCAGCCGTTAGTTATTACGAGTTGGTCGAAACGCACTCTATTTACGCTCGCGCTCAACGTGATTCATAATACGCGCAGAGATAATGAGCAATTTGTAATATATCCGAATGTAATTCGCGACCAGTCCACCGTGTCGCGGATGCTGTTCAATTTAACGTCATATTTCACGGTTTTCTCTGACAAAAGTTTATCAATGCGTTTACTATTACGAATTCTATACTGATTCGCAATAGAATGAAATGAGATTGATAAAAGATTTATTTGAGCTTGATAGTTTTTCATTATTTTTAAGAGTTAAAAAGAAAGTTAATTTAACTTCTTTGCAAATTTCATGTTAAGGTACGTATTTTATTCGCCAATGATCCTCGCGACAATCAACAAACGTATTTAAACAACAGAAAATTATTTCCACTAGATATATCGAAGGATAAAAATATATCCTCTGAATTATGAAAGCAACAATTGCGTCGGAACGTTGTCCCGTCGTACGTTGCTTTCACTTTCATCCCCCAGAGTTACAGAGAACGTCATCGTTCTTTTTTTTTTTTTTCTCCACGAGCGACACACCTCGTCCCTTCGTCGAGCACGATAGTTTACTGCTTCATTAGGTGGATAACTTTTTTAGGGGTTTTTAAAAAGCGTGAGAGTTTATGTTTGTTTGCCGGGAGTTTTAAAACAGTTTCGCCAGACCCTCTCGCACCCTCTTTTCGAGTTGCGGCACAGCTCGTCTGTGTGTCACGACCGCTTTTCAAGAAGAAAAAGAAACTTTTCACGGTAAATTTGAACAGAAACGATGCCACTGCTTTAACGTTTTGTCTCAAATTGCCCCGGCGTGGTTTCAATTATGCTTTGATTAAGAAAACTCGATGATTCTAATTAAATTTTTCATTTCATTATTAGTTTTATCTAACAGCATTGAAATACTGATTTATATAGAAATAACTGCTAAAAGTTAATATTTCAATGAAAACAAAAATTTGCCAAAATACATATATAGATGTAGAAAAATACATAAAGAATTCTATGCTTGAAAATGGATGCTGCAATATGCATAGACCGTCGCTTGGCATGATTTCTCTTTTTTGAATTTTTCCAATAAAAGCGAATAAACAATAAAAAATAATAGTACAGAATTTTTTAAGTCAGGCTAATAAAAAAATAAAAAATTCAATTTTTGATTACGATCTCTTAAACGGTAACCAATTCATGATTTTTCAGTGTTCCTTCGGAGTGTAGAAAAGCGTGGCGGGAAAACAATCGAATAAAAGTGGGAAGAGAGGAGTGCAAAAGGCGCTAAAACTCTCAATTACATTAACTCGATTCCGGTCGTCCGTTCCCGTGTCACGCCACTTGGAAGGGGTTAGTTAAGAGAACCGCTATTGGATTAGCGAGCCCCCAACCCGGTCGATTTACCTTCTCGAGTCCGCGTATCTGTACCTTCGTCGTTTGCACGTCGTACAAATCCCTTAAGCGAGCTTGCAATAAAGCACGGTTTATCGTTCGCCAAATGCAGCTACGTGTGAACCGCTTTGAAACGATCGGCTTTCAAAGATAAACCGGCTATTTGTTCGTCGTGCCACGAAATACAAAGACGTTCTTGATACCCGTTGACGCGTCCAAGATCGAACGTGTCTTCGGGTTTAATGAAGAAGAAGAAAAATCGAATCAACATGTGTACCTACTAGACAAAGTTTATCGCTGCAGCCCCTCGCAGTATAAAATTAAACAAAATATTTTTTAATTTTTTAATTTTTCGCAACGTATCGATGATGCCGACCGATTACTAAATAATTACCTTTACCACTACTAATTCTTATCAGCTGTCACTGAGTTAAATGTTAGGTTTTTGCGACTACCTGACAATTTTTCAAGTCCTCCTTTATGAAATACAGTGTGCTCTCGATCAAAATGTCATCGTTCTTGACAGGCGTATTAGACAAAACTCAGAGATGAGCGAAACAATTAAATACCTATCAAGTTTACGGAGATACTGTGGGACTTTAAGTCGCGTCGCGTCGCGTCGATTCAGGGCCTTCAAAATTTGTAAACACATACCTAAACAGATTAAGAGGCTCGTGATTTCAGAATGGAGTTCTTAGAATCATGGGATGTACTGTTTATAAACCGTACACAGAGTTATTGATCGACTTCCTAGTTGTAAAAATAGGTTAATATTTTCGCTTCGATGCGACGTATGACAGGATATGCACGTTGTTGATATTTCGAATGTTTCTGAACATATGGAAAGATTAATACTTTCAGAATCACAAATTTCTATCTTTGTCATCAAATTTTTAACAGTTGCTTGACAGTTATTGTAGTACATAACTTCAATTGCTTATCTAACAGCGACAAGCCCTCTCGAAAACTGTGTCTACTTTGAAAAAATTGCGTTCAATGATAAGATTTGCAGTTTATGAGGATATAAAACTAGCTAAAATTTATTCCAGAATATTTACCAAATATGTAAACCTTTTCACGTGATTTTCTTCGCAAAAAGAAGTTAAAACGTGCAAAAACTGGCTCAAACAATAAAACAAGGAATTCTTTACTGCTAGCATAAAGAAGATTACATTAGATAAAAAAAACAAATTGTAAAATTTGTAGAATACTTATACCACGATAAATAACAACTGTATGTCTTTTTATTCATTGTATTATTTCATCTAGAAATTGAAATGTCGCGGTAGAAAATAAACGTGCAAAGTGTTATTTATCTCACAATGTTAATTCTTTTTGCTTTTAGACTTTTATATAAAATTTAAAAAATCATAGTCCGAATTGAAGTTTAGAATACTTGTAGTGTTTGCAAACTTTCGGAAAACTAAATTGAACTAGAGACAATATCACTAATAAATATTAGACAAATCGCTAATAAATATGAATATTTAAATCCTTTCCTATCGTCAAAATTTCTATTTATTGCACTTTTTATTTTTCTATAAACAATTTTTGGATTGAATTGCGAAAAATACCGGAGGTCGCAATGAGTTTCGCCGTCCGACGGCCTACGGCAAAACAAAGAGAAACCTATTTCTTTACTTTTTTCTGATCTTTTTAATAATTTTTGAGCGGAATTGATACTGAAGATGTTCCTTACACGTCTATTTTTTATGTAATTACTTTAATTAGCAATTGTCTTTTAAGAGTTGCGATAACTACACTTGCGATTTTATTATTGGACATAAAATGGAAGTAGAAAATTGAAATTGATTTCTACCGTCGCTCTGCTAAAGATACCTTTAAACTTGTAATTCATGTTTGTTTTTGTTTATTTGTACACCCCCTACACAAACTAAAATGCAATTTTCTTTGAAATCCGATCTTTCGATGTGGAAAATGATAAAACATAACGTTTTATTCTCTGACACTTGCCATTGTAAATCAATGTTCAATAAAATTAATAATTTTCATGCTGAAGTAGGTAGTAATGAAAAATTGTAGTAAGAACGTCAAAATGTCTTCTTGAAAATCAAGCATTTTCCACAAAGAAAAAAGAAAACTCCTTTTCAATCTAACCACCTTATTCTTCATCTCACATATTCTCGAAACAAAATGGAAAAATGTCTAATAAGAAAATGAGAACAACGAATGCAAAAAAGTACTTACGTTCCGTTATCGGCTAGCGCGGGCTGTGGCCAAGCACGTGGCACAGGTTCCTCCTTGAGTATCTGCCTCATGTCCTGAGGCGCGAAAACGAGAGGCGCCCGCGGGTGGTGATGCGGGGGCGGCGGTGGTGGAGCTACACTCGCCCCGTACAGCTTACGTCCCCAGTGGCCTTCGAGTTCGACGGGGCTTCCACCCCCGGTGGTGGCCCCGGTGCCACCCCCAGCGCCAAGTCCGAGCCATGGCGACCCCCCAGCACCCACGATCGTGGAGCTGGGCAGGAGACCACTCCACTCGTCGGACCGCGTCGTGAGGCCGTACGGACTCTCCTGGGGCAACAGGCTTTCACCTTCCCGTTGTCACCCTTTTCGAATAACGTTAATCGGCTCGTTCGCGAGCCGTTCGCGGTTGATCTGCGACAGAGAGACGCTCGCCCCTCGATCAGGACGCGTCTTCAGGGACAAGCATCAATCGCGCGGTATGGTGGTGCTGACGCCTCGTGGCTGCGCATCAATATCTTTACAACCTGTCACACCATGAAATCCCTTGCCGACCGCGTGTCGGCGCACACGCGTCCCGCGTTATACTACCCCGTAGATCACGAGCACGCGACTAATGATCGACGCCACGACTGCTCTCGTCTCCGCCGTTTGTTCCACTGAACCACTCTGTTTACTCACTCGGCTTTGTTTACAAAACCGGTCCGCCGTCCCTCTCGTCCCTCACTAAACTTTCTCACTCTCGGTATCACTCGGTATTTCCCGTTAAACACGCCGCAGTCTGATCGTCGGAGTAAACGACAGATGAAAAACTGGTGATCTCAATTTCTTCGGGATATCGAAACGTTCGATTGCTCGATCGTGGTCCCAAGCGTGTACCCGCGAACTCCTTCGAGATGTTCCAACGATCCACCTGGGATGATGTAATCGTGGCGGATACGCGTAGTGCAGGCGGTAATCTGAGCAGCGGGCAATGTCGATGTGGTGCGTATCGCCGGCACGAAAGTGTCGGTAGGGTGTCTCGTAACCAGAGGAGAGGTCCTTCGAGGTCCCCAGCCGCGCGTTGCTTCCCGTTACGGCGCCGCTTGTCGAATGTGTCAGGGCCGGCACGAGCGGCGTGCCAGCGGGTCCCAACGGGGACGGGCCTCCAACTTCTCGATGGGCGTGGCCTCTACTGACACGGCGCAACGACCAGCCTGCCGCTTTCGCCTTGCCCATTCTCCATTTTCCTCCAATCCAACGGCTTCCTTCCGACCAATCGGCTTGCTCATCCGTACGGATAGTTTCCACCCATCACGGATACCAAAGACGGTGGCGCCGCGACGGTAACGTAACGAGACTGTCAATCTGGCGCGCGCCGTCGACCCTTTAGGTAAGGGTTGCGTTCTTCTCCGTTCGATGCTAGCTTCGATTTATAATTGTCGAACTGCACAAACGCATTTTTATCCGAAACATATTTATATTCATTGAAAAAAATAATTGGAAATTAAAAATTCTTATGTATACCATTATCTCGTTGTATTAAATTAAATTGCACTGTCTTTCACTGATAGCATTATAAATACTGATGCAAATAAAATTTATAGTTAAAGACCAACACTAAAACCCCATTAAAAACACCCTACCAGGTGAAATAAATCGCTTACATTCGACGCTGAGCAGGGACTTCATTTCGATGCCCACGTGTTGCAGTCGTTCGTACTGTCCTCCAAATTTGGATGCGTTTCTTAGCACGATGAATTCCATGAGCGACGCGTTACGAGGCGACAAAACGCGGGAAAAAAGGAAGCATAATCAGAGGACGGTTGAGAAGAAAATCGCAGCAATGACTGGCGTCCGAGTATTTGCAAGCTGGTACGCTGAAATGCACTCCGATGGCGGAGCACCGGTGTCCTTTCCTGGAGAGACGTCGACGTCTGGCAAGGAGAGGCTCTCTTGACGTGCAGACATTTAATGGCAGGAACGTCACGTACCGCGAAGAAACACCTCACTGTGATGTGGAAGCTGCCTCGAACTCGCACCTAGCCTGCCCCAGTTTTTATCGAGTTGCAATCAAGTACGGGGAAATCCATGGTCTCTCCCTCAGGAGATCAACGAGGCTTACTAGCAACTGGTTTACCTGATCTTCCTCTTGTCAGGTTTAGCGTTCTCGGTAATTTTCTACACCTGCTTATCACTTGTCTTCAAAGGAATAAGCGTTCAAAGAAGTTGTTGTTTTACTCGTGCATTGAAAATGTTTTCTAGGACTAGTTGACTATCATGGGGATCACCATGGTAGAAATTTAATTAGATTGAGTAATTAAGGATACATTGACAATTGAACTATTGAAATGGCAAATGCACCTAAGTTCAATAAAAATTTAATTTATAATCTCGTCTTTTTCCACCAATTCTCTAATTGATTTGATATAAAAATAGACTAATCATGCAAAACGAAGCCTTTAAAGTGACAAAGATATTAGGTACATAAATTTGAAAGTGCACGACGTTCTGGTGGGAAAAGTAACTATAGAATTTGTTTGAATAAATTTATGCGCTGGAAGGGACTGGCGAATTGTAAATTTAAGAGGGAAACAAGGAAGTCGGGTCCATAGTGTTTCTCAATGCTGTTACTTTGCCGTTGTAAGGCAATCTATTACTTTTAAATTCGTTTCGGAAGAGATTCATGGCTGAGAATCACTGGTTCGAGAGTGTGAGACCTATCAAGTAAAGATAATGCTTTCTGTGTCGGGTAATTTGACTTCCCTCCCTTTTTTCCTCGATGGACCTTGCAGATAAGCTCTTCTCAAGTACTTTACATTTACAAGCAATTGGAACGTCTCGAGGTTGATCCTCCTCCGTTAAATGTAATTAAAAAATAGTTCATGATAACTGGAAATATTTGTAAATTATTTATGCAAGATTTTCTTAAAGAAGGAGATTGTTTGAAAAATTCATATCATCTATAACGAAGCTTAATGACTGATTACAAGCGTCATTATAAAGCGTTTGAGATGTACGCGTGCCGAACCGGTTTCATTCCCTTCTATTTTTTTTCTATTTGTTCTTTAAAAGATCGTCGCTCTTTCAGAGTCGTGATTCATGAGATCCCTCTCGGCTGCCCAACGGCCTGTAACATTGCCATCTTATGGCAATGACGCGAGTAGTCTAGAGCGTGAAAGTCCATTTAGAAGCGGAGCTGCCACTTTTTCCTTCTTCATTCTTTGATCCGTGAAAAAACCTCTTCGTTCATTGACAATAAAAATGTAATATTTGATTTCTGCTCTTCGATTCGGCTATTTTTTTTAAATACTTGAAAGGCAATGAAAAAGAAAATATAACATTTGGGTTAAGATGAGATATTCTCAAATCTGAATAGCAAAAATTGTAGCACAGCTTAGGTGATTGGAAATGACGGGTCACGTTCGTACAAGTGTCTTAAATATTCGGCTAATCCGATGGCAAACGGTGTCAACGCGGCTAAATGTCTCAATGATGTCAAATGAACATCACTGCACCGACCAAATCCAATTACAAATCAGTAGGGTCATGGGATTCCGCACTACTATGGTTTGCAGTTCTGATGCACCCTACCTAGTCCACCATAGAAGCGTTCTAAGTCTATTATTCAGCTATGATAATATTTCGATTCTGGTTTCCCTGTTTGTTCTGTTATGCACAGAACTTGCTCCTCCATATGCCGACTGAAACCTCGAAGAGCCTGAAAACAGTTCAATACCAGGTTAATTTTGATCCACACTCGATTCAAAGTGTTAAAATGCGCCCACTTGGCAGCACCTTTGAAATGACGGTGCACGAAGTTCGCGTGCGATGCAGGGACAGTCCTTTGAAAGCTAACAGAGACGCATCCTTCAAGTGAACCACATTTTACCCCACTGTAATACCATCCATAGGTGAACCCCTCTAGCGTGATGTACCAGCGTTAGAGCTGGTGTATCCTGCGAAGGAAGGGTCCTGTCAAAGATGTCCTGACATATGTGATGCTTATGTAGGGTGGCAGCCCCCGGGCTCACGAATTCGGAACATGTGCGTCGACCAGAACCGTCCAGAATTCTATGACCGAGTTTGTTTGTACTTGTACGCGCGAATCGTGAAGTGGATGCGTGATTATCTTTGTCTTCGTTATCATTGCGAGGGCCATCAACCTGTCAATCGTTAGACGCATTTATGCATTCATTTACTGATGCTTCTGAAAAAAGAAACACACTTAAATTTTTTTTATATCAATTGAAAGTAGATTATTTCAATTTTGTGGAATAATTCATTCTATGGGGTCAGACTTTTACATTAAAGGTAAGAAGAACGATAGAAATTTTTGTAAACCCTTAAAATATGAAACATGATTTTTCCATTATGATAGAGAGACGAACGTATTATTTTACTGGCACCAGCTTCAAATTCACCAAAAAAAGAAGAAATAGGGACAATGCCCAATATTGTACATACTCGTTTAGTTCAGCATTTGGTACGACAATACGGCTGATCAGCGCATCGGTGCACGATTATAATGATAATACCGCCCTCCGTTTCGAATGGGGGCGAGACTACGGAGGTGCGCAATGCCCCCTAAGGGGTGCTCAAGTTTTTCGGCTAAAGTTTTTCCTACGCAGATGCGCCTCCGGACGGGACCATTTATTAGCACGGCTATCCTGCTTCTATGCTCCCATTCAAAAGGGCTGGACAACAACAGGTTGCCGCGTCAACGTCATTAGCTATTGCGTTTTTGTTTCCTAGCCCTTTGGGGTTTACCTTTGCTGAGATAAAGGCCGCAAACCTTCCCAGTTAATCCTTCCTTTCAGAAAATAATCTGAAGGTACGATCTTGTCGTGGAAAGAAGTTTTTGATTGAGGATAGGCGAGCTGTAACAAACATTTTGCATGTATAATTTCACGATGTTGATAAATGAGTTCTATTTGTATCTGTTTTGGGGAAATTTAAACGGCTTACCCCTTTTATTATTCATTTGATTCATTATTTTATGAAAATTTTAAAAAATTACTATAATTTATTATATTATATTCCCAGTCTTTGTAGAAATTGTGGTTATATTTTTTTTTTTCATTAGTAAATAGCTCAGTTCGATAGATTCTTTATATTTATCGTTTCCTCCAAGTTCCATCTACTAAGAAATAACATCTGTTATCGTGATAAATGCAAAGAGGTAAATTTGATGGCATACGAAATTTCTATACATTTTGGGAAAGTTCGAGAAAGCACTTCATGATTTATTCCACACAGACCCAGGAACATGGAACCGCAACCGCAAGTAAGCTCCTCCTACCATGCCCGAGGACGCGTCTGTTTCCATAAACCAAATTATTTTTATACGCAGGGATCTACGTTTTCGTGAATTAATGATAAGCTTGTACGGTCACTCGATACGTCGGTGACCATTCTGCGATCCCTATGACATACATACAAGTGGATAAAACTGCCGAACCACAGTTGCGGCTTTTCCATTTTCTTTCAATACCCATAATGGAGAGATTTGTTTCACTTCCCCTTGTCTTACCGTTCATTTATCATTCTCCCATTCCTAATACCAAAGAATTCTACTATTTTTCTAAAAAGAAATTAGAAAGCTAAAATTTTTTTATCAATTTTAAAACAAATGTAGTTAGGTACTTACATTTGATTGGCAAAGGTTCCGTCATAATGCTCGTTTACGAAATGACAATGCGAACATTCGGTTACAGATTTGCCGGGATAACAATCGACTGAGTGGCACGAATTACCACTGACCCTGTACATTGGCGATTTCAGCGAAGGTTCGTCGAAGGGGCGGAAATGCTCGTGCGCCGTGTCGTTAACCGATCGTTTTGGGGATGAACACGGGGAATTCGGCCAGTTAGCTAAAATGTAACGATGCATCCAGGTCGAGAAATCGTTCCGGTGAGAGGCGATACGGTGATCCACGGGGGTGGAGAATGCGCTGGTCGAAGATAGGACACCCACGAGGGTAGTAGGGATACACGACCTCCCTGCGTGCACCAAGGATTACCGAAACTGTACCTTGCTCTATGATACTCCTCTTTAAATGCTATCAGACATTTTTATGCTAATAAAATTAAGTAAGCAAATTCAGAAGAAGATTAACCATTAATCAACCACCCATGGGATGTTCAGCTGCTAAATTATAAATAATGTTCACATTTGTATGGAGAAAAGTTATCAGGGTGGACAAAACAGGCATGAAGCAAACGCACCCAAGCCACGCACGAAGTTGAAGAAGAAGAAGAAGAAGAAATAGAAGGAGGAACAAAAACTGAGTGGTGAAGGTGAGAGAAGGGAGAGAAGCAGACGTGGTGAGAGAAAGAGGGGTAGGAGGATAAGGGAGAGGTTTCCAACGCTGTCGATGGGACGTGTATCCGCTGGATTGCGGCCTCGTTCGAGAATCCTCATGGGAAGATGCCATCTTGTTCTGCTATGTAGGTATCCACTGCCCGCCAGCCCGATGTCCTGCCACCCCTTTGCATAAACTTACAGACGGACGATGACGTCAGGCAACAAAGACGTTCAACTCTTGTTGAGATATCGATTTGGTATTTGGATTGTCGTGCCTAGGTATCTGAAAATATTACGAAACTTCATTTTCTTCGGCATCTTAACACGTTGATGACACATTCACACATTAATGACATAAATTTTCAAAATTACCTGGTATTACGAATCATTCGTCAATTTTTAACAAAGCACAGTAAGATTTTCATCAAAATCTAATTACGAATGACGGTGTTGAAACGCAACGATGATTATATAGTGGAAAATTTCAACAAATCAACTGATTATCATCTACAGTGCGGACACAACATTTATAGTACCGTCGGGAAAAATATCCACGATAAGTGCGATCCACGTATAGTATACAAATGCTATTTTATTTATTGAACCGTTGTACGCAAAAAGGTTCTTTCGGATCGCCATGCCGGATGGCATACACATTTTATCGGCTTTAATTGGGCGCCACCGCATATTCCCGGTTAATTAATACGAAAAATTGCCAATGTTAATATCGCATGCATTACCTATTTGAAACGGTCTGTTGCATCGGCGCACGGACCGATGCACCGTGAAGGGTCACCTGAACACACATGGTGATATTAACGTATTTTGTTATAATTACCAAACATTCAGTCGTGGTAAACGTTCCGCGATTCTCATTCGACAATTTCATCTTCCTGTTTATTGTTATCTTTATTGAAACATTCGTTGAAAGTGTGATAATTACAAGGCGACTCGTTAACATGGTCCATATGGAATACTTCCATTACCTGTAATAATAATCAAGAGTCTAATATGCATATTTTGTATTATTTTTAAATTAATAGTTGTTAGTTAAAAAAGACTATTAATTTATCATGTTGGGTATTCATTAATTCATGGGTATCCAAAAATGATAATTAATTATCCTGAAAGTATATCTGAAAATCAAGAAAATATGTAGAACAAGTGTTTATATTTTATATGAAAATATATTGTAATACACCCTGTACATGGGGGTCGTCGACCGTTCAATGACATTGGTCGAACAGTTTTACAGAGTAAACGGCATTTTCGGTAAAATGTTTCCCAAACTATCGGTAGTCGCAAGTTTACGGTCAGTTAATCGAGTTACGAATCGACGAGCCGATTAAACTGCGCAAAATCACTTCTTCCATTTGAGAACCCCACCGAGGCCGGGTAAATAACGAATTGAAAATCAATGGTATTACGAGATTATGCGTTTATTGGTAGAGAGCTAGTAGAGTTACCGATGCCCAGAGCAGTAATATCGAGTAATTGCGTAAACGCACCCGGATCCCTCTGTGTGCCTCTCCACCCCCTTAACCTAACCCGCGAATGTGATCACCCGTCCATGGAATTTCGCACATTCGTGCAATCGCTTGCGATGTTTAAAATAATTATCCTGATATTTTCCCTTGTGTTTTTTTTTAACCTTTCCACTGCTGATTGCTCACTTTTTATTGGTTATCGATTTCAGAAAACAAATATGATGGAAACGCGACCAATACACGAGGGGTGGAAATATACAACTTTCGCTATAAATAAATATCAGTTAATTTAATTATCAATTAGTTACGTTTTAAATATTAATATACTTACTTTGCATAAATTTATTTAGAACACTGACTTTTGTAAAATATTAAATATTAAGCTCATCGCGACCCCTTTCTATTATACAAATTCGTCTATTGCTAATTTCTGTTTGTTTAATTGTTTAGGATTTCTGATCAAACAAAATATCTCGACATTTATAGTGTAAACTATAGCAGCAGAGGATGATTCAATACCTTGGTTTACTCCCAGTGGCAATCAAAGTAACGCTTTCTACTAAAGGACAATGTGTCAGGGTCTTGTCCGACGACGTTCTCGCAATATTAGCCACCATGAGATGTGTGTATTTCACACATTAACGTGTTTACTCAGGACTGATTCCGGGCTCCGTTTGCGACACATTGCGTGCAATATCCACTGTTTGTTCCACGGCTCGCTTAATTTGGAAACCCTGTTTTCTTATTTCCTCTGTAAATTTGATATTATCCTGCTCCCTACATTGGGGATGTTATACAAAAAATAAAACATTTGTATCACATCACATTATGTATCATTCATAAATGTTTGAGTACCTATAATTTTTCACGCTACAATTTTTCAATATAAATTTAATTGGAAATCAATGAAAATACAGTTTCTTCCTGAAACTGCCAGCTGAACAGTGTATCTAAAGTAACAATTAAAATCGACCAAAGTAATTATGTCCACGATTCCTACAGACTATCATTACCAAAGTTGAAGAAACAACAGAAAGCTCATTATGTGTGCGCTAACAAAGCAGTAACGACACAATCTCGTTGGCGGTGCAATTATACACGTAGGAATAGGGGTAAGATCAAGAAGAGGGTCGAACAGGGTGTAACACGGTGCGGTGGATCGACAGTGGATAGCGGTAATTCCGTCACGCCATAAAGGTTGCTTTTTATCGTCTACCACCCTGTACGCCCATCCAACGAGATCCTATGGTCTGTGTCAGACGCCAAGGTATTTCTGGTGCTTCCTCTTCTATTCTAACCTTCGTTTCTAACTTGCACGTGCCGCTTGATTGTTCAGGTTTTATTATCACTCGTTGGTCCCCGACTACTCGTTCATTCGTTGTATCCGTTCGCGGTCACGGAAACGACCCACTGCTACCATGCCGACGAAAATAAACGTCGGGGTTAATCGTTTTTCTACCCGTTGCACGACGATACAGAAACAATGCCTGCTTTGATTGCATTTATCCAATCGTTGCATATCAAATTTGAAATTTATCGCTTTCGCGGCTCGTACTCGTTGATTTCAACCCGTCAAGCTGGCAAAATTTGGAATTATTATTTCTCATTTTCAAATTTGTAATTTTGCAAATTTTTTCATCAGAAGTAGTGAGACACAAAAAATAATTTTTCATTTATTCAACAGCCGCGCAATCAAACTGTGTATTTTAATCATTTCACGAACCCGACTCCTGTTTTTGAACAATTTAAAACGCTTCCATTAATATTCGCTGTCAATATTCAAAAGTCGACTGATAAATAAATTATCGCGAAAGAAGAAACAGGTTGGAGGAGTGGAAAAACGAGATCGGTTGCGAAACCATTGTGCCGTGGACCGACAGCAAATGGAATTAGCGGACAGTTTAGTCCGGTCGAGTCGCGGAATAGAGGTTGCATTTTTACGGTCATATTAATACGGCCGGAAACATACTATGATCGGGTTTGTAATGCACCCCTGGGGGCCCGTGTGATATGATACATTTGCTTTGCATACAGGATAGCGAGGCGAGTTCACAGCGAGGAGAGAAATGATGGCGAGAGGAGAGAAAGAGAGCGGGAAAGTGTGGGCAAATACAAACGTGACTGCATTTCATGGCAAATTACAAACACGTGGAAATGGTAGTAGAATCGACGGGAGGTGCCATCGATGGTGTTTCCTCGTATCTGTTCGAACGCTCGCCGACCAATTATACCTGTTTATTGCGAAACGTTCAGTTCGCGCCTTGGCTACAAATTTACATTATAAATTATATACATTGTTTATGAAAGAATTTTAATTATAACTGGATAATTAAAATTTGCTTGGAAAAATTGTAAGCTTTTCATTAATTTCCATTAAATCAAAGAATAGATTACCTTAATCCCTTTGTTTAATAATAACCAATAATAATTACCATTATCTTTAACAATCTTTAGCCTATAGTACCAGATGTAATGATTTTGTGCACTGAAGTAACATTAACCATAGCCAGCTTTTCTAATACGAGAATCCAGTTAATCCTTGTAATTAGATATCCTGACTTACGATTGCTCAGAGGGGTTGGAAATTCGTCATATCTTGACGAAAATCCCTCGTATAGTGTCTCAAATTTCCACAGGGTTGCATGAGCCTGGAAAGAATGAATCATGTATTAGTATTGCCATATTTGCAGCATAGATACAGTTGGTGGAAAGGATGCATAATTCTGTAAAAAATATATGCTATTTCCTTCAAGGTATTAGAATTAAATTTTCTATAATATTTAATATTTTTTCTGTATCTTCACATATCTCCTTGTATATTTTTCAATTTTGTGTTCCAGCGTTCGAATTTGATGTATTTTCATTCTTGTCCAATTTTACAACCGCACTATATCGTTTCCACCGACTATACCGGTTCGTTTATGACGTCACAGTTCGACAGGACATAAATCCTGAAGCGGACGAGGCAGAAACTTCGAGCGGGCAGCCACGTCGTACCATGTGTTTCGATAAAGAGCATCTGTACGCAAGAAAGAAAAGAATTCCTCCTCTCTTGTTTCCATCGCTTGTCACCCCTTTCAGAGAAACCCCTTCCTCACGGCTCGACCTCGACCACAACGCTAATTCATGGTCGGTGACATCTCGTTGCCTTCGTAACAAGTACTATTGTCCTGGACCAACTTGATCGTACGGCATTGTGCCACCCTCGAGTGCAATGCCGCGTGTCCGAAGTGGTACCTGGTGGAATAAATGTTCACTGAACAATTTTTAAAACTGATCGAACCGAGTGCTATAATTGTTTGTTTGAAAACAACCTCCATAGTGCTGCCTGTCTGGACTCGCAGATGTCACTGATTATTCTCGCCTCTTCGTCAAATCTCTGCTAAAGAGTCATTTTAATTGTGCTGTCAAAAATGAATTTTTGAACATTTTTTTTTATCAAGATGCTATTATAATTTTGCCAAAAAATAAAAATTTTTAATCTTTCCTTCAATTTTCCAATTTTAAGCTTTAAATTCATATGCCCCAAGTGCCATTTTACAATACTTTTACGTCATCAAATCATGTGAGATTTTATAGGAGATTATCGAAGGTAAGAGGGATCCAGTTAAAATTTGCGTTCGGTGTCCACAGATATTTGCTTGGAAACCGGTAGTTATCTGTTGGTAAATGAACACATGGTGGATGGTTATGGTGAGTGAATACGGCACCCTCTGTTTGGATTACAGGCCCGAAGCTTCGTTGGCGTCTATAAACAGAGATAAAGGAGAGGAAGGCGAGCGGGTGCGGAGAACCACGTTTTCGCTACCGCTATGACAGATTGAGAGAAAGGCATCGTCCTTTGGTGACCAACGAGGCGTTTCGCCACCTATATCCACCCTATAATGCCAGACAATGGCACTATACTCCATTTCGTTGCATGTGCACTATAACATCAATACCACTTCGAAATTTTCTAGTGATCGTATCAACTCTTCGTCGTTCACGTAAGACACTTGGCGATAATATGTCTGTTGACGTGTGCACACCTGTTCGTTTATTGAAGTTCAATCCGAGTAATTACGACTTGTGATTATTTTTATAGAGTGTCTTCAATGAAAAATAATTTTTAAAGGAACAGTATAAAATTTACAAAATAAAAGTAATATGAAATAGAAAGTTAAATTAAAATTGTGCCTCTCTCTGTGTTCCGCTATCTGAGGGCTAATTTAAGACTGTTCCTTATTTTCATTAAAAAAATTTTAAAATTTTAGAACATTTTGAATTTCATTTTGCTGTTCAAAGATGCATACCTATAATAATCGCGTTTAAACAAAACAGCACATTGTTTTGCAAACTTTATTGTATAGAACGTAATCAAAAGTAGCATCGCAGAGAGATGATTTCATGCGTGTATAAAGGTGGAATAGCTAGGTAAGGTATCTGTGATGCTGTTGCAAACAACGGTCGTTCAGATATGGGAATGACAATGCTGGCCGACCAAAACGCACGTTAGAGACGGCCTAACTGCCGTCTCTTATTGAAACATCATCTCTAGTTACCAGTATGAAAGCGACTATCCATACAGCGAATGTTCTCAAGATATCATTTGTCCTTCATTTTTTCTTTTTAGCAAATGTAACGATCCTTTCTTTCTTTTTACATCTTTTATTAGACTACAGATATTCAAAGTTACGTAAAGATATTAGATAGAAATGAAAGAATGTTAAAATTACTCAGAAATCATTAAACACGATTAATAATTATTTTAAAATAGTGCAACTAAATTGTAGTAAAAAATAAAATTTACATTTTCTTTCTCCACCAAATTGAATTGTACACGTTTGAAACAGATCAATTACGTGTAAAGAACCATCGAGACAAGTTTCGTTACACATCGAACAAGAAGCGACCAGAATAAACCGATAAAACCAAAAAGGATCGAGCCACTTGTTTCAATTGCAAACAGATGTGGACATGATATCAGTGTGCGCTCACCCCCTCTTTAGAATTCAGCCCTCTCAATCTTTTTTAGAACACAGCCATCGTTCAAACTTGCTAAATGTAGAGATACAGTATCCACTTCAAGGGGAAACAAGGCCATCAACGAGGGTGCCGTCGGTATCTGAAGGGAGCGTCAGATTTTAGACCGCAGCGGCAGATCGGACAAGTGCATGCTCTCTCCATTATAAACCTGCCTCTAGGCTTTACTTCGACGACCAACGAGCCATGAAGATCTCGTCATATGTGCATTTCCTATTACGTCTCTGATCTATGGCCCACGACATTTTCCCCTGATTGAGTAACCCAATAATTTAGTCAGTCTGTCGATACGACTATCAGTTACTTTGGGTTGAGTCATAAATATCTTTCACTAGAATTAGACAGGAAGCTTTTAGATCCAAAGAGATGCAAATTACATTTCTTTTTCTTTTCCTAAAACACCGACATCCTTTAATAATATCATTGTAAATTATCTGGGAACAGATTTACAACCATCGCTCTCTCTCTTTCTCACCCTTCATTCATAAATAGGATTAGTGGTAGTGTGGTCACAGCAACTGAGCTTAAATTAATTGCTTCAAAAACCGCATGGATCGTGTAATCCCTTGGAAAGTCCCACTCGAAGGTCCTGGCTAAGTCTTTGTTTAACGCTCGTTTGTATAATTTCGATGCTGTCGAAGGGCAAACAGCGTAAGAGAGCCAGGCAAAAGAGAAAGACAACCGATCGCACGGGTAGAGAGAGGCTAGTGGCGACGAAATGAATACAAATGACGGCTGGGGTCACCTGCACCGTAATTGGATGATCCTCTATTCGAAGGATTATCCTTCGTTGAACGTCCTGGGAAACCGCCCGCACTCTCTGTACCCGCCCATTCCTCCTGCGGTCGAACAAATTTTGACGGGCTGACAGCGTGTCCTGGTTCAAAGAAAAAAAAAAAGGTCCTTTTAACGACGGAGTCTCGCGAGGATCGGGAAGGGTGATCATAAATCTGGTAACGGTATACCGTCCTGAACAAGCCTAAACAGGCAAGTAATGTCGCGTTGTACGGACAATGATGAAACATCATGCTTCCTAATACCTTTACGACCGTGCAAGTACGTTTACAAAACGTATGCTCGTGCTTTCCACGTTGCACGAACCGACCACCAAAGCGTTTACGACCGGAACGAATTAGCAGTTGGGATGAATGCTTGCATCCGTTATCCTCCCACTTCCTTTAGGATGCTACTTCTTCTGAATTTACAGACACAGCAGATCTCTACGAAACACATTGACTTTAAATTTTATTATCAAGAAATTTTGAATAAATTAATCAGGGCTGTTCTCTGTACAAAATATTCAAGAATGAGCGAAATTAATATTGAAACCCTTTTTCTATAGTTTTAATAAAAATACAATACCACTGGTGTTTCCGGTAGCACTCTCCTGGGTTCTGCTAAATTTCCAAGCACGTTGGCATGATCGAGGGGTAGAGAGAATAAATAAATCTCAACATGATCTTGACTTTTAACATATTTTGCCAATTAAAGTACCCAGCGACGTTTTACGAGTTTCAGTCAGCTATTCCCACACTTCGTCTCCATTCCCAACGGTGTCTTTGTATCGTTCCACTCGAGCTGAATTTACCTCGTTCAAAATGCAAATCTTACATTTGTAAATAAATTTGTTTTTCCAAATGTTTCGTACCTGTGTTTATAAATTTTCCTGTTGACAGTTTCTAACAGTGCTATATAACCAACTCTAAATAAAAATTAATTATATGAAATTTCATGCGATTTATGCAACAAGCTAATACCTGACGTTAAGTGATGCATAGGGAAAGAGGGAAGGTAAGGAGAGGAACCGTCTTTAGAAGTCGAGTCCAAGCCACTAGCGATCTATTCGTTGGGGGATGGGAAGCTTCTAGAGCGTGGTTTAGGGTAGATAGGGGCGAAAGTCAGTGCACAGCCCCTATGGGGGCCACTAGCTGGCTTCGTGCCTTCGTCGCGACTTCAGGAACTCCTGTTGCCGACTCTGCTGAAAGCTGTACAACCTGAGTAGCAAGGGGTAGTATGAAGAAGAGCAGGGAGGAGAGCTGGTCACCTCTTCACGACGGCGAAACAATTCGTTGTCACCGCAGAACTAAGATTTGTTTCCTGAAACTTTGTGAAAATTGTGAAACCTGATGAAATGAGGAAATATAGCAGAATCTTCCGTGTTTGAACACCTGTTATTTGGCCAATTTAATATTTCCTGCTCCACTGTACATCATTCAACATTAATACTATATTTTTTTAATTCAACTAATTTTACTACGTTTTCAAATAAATAATATTGAGAATAAATGTTCATTGAAGCAGAAATAATTTTGTTTTATTTTGTAATAGTGTTAGATAGCCAGAACGTTTTCGAATTTCTTCGGAAAGAATTTATTTCGATTCTGCAACTGATGAAAGCACGTACGTGCAAGAGTCAGGTCATAACTGCTACCCGCTCTCTTGTACACGTCCTGAACGATAGTTTACAGAGATACGGACTAGTCCTTCAGGGCTCGCAAACCCAACGGCTGGCCACGGCGCCCACGGGAGAAACCTCGACAACTATCCTCGAACAGAGATGCGAAGGAACTTCCGAATCCCGCGAACTGCAACTACGGCAGTTAGCCGTGTCGCTGTTTTTGATAAGGATATTAATAAAGTTTAACGCCTATATCTGTGTACTGGTTAGGCAAAGTAACCGAACGGTTGTCTGTACCAATCTACAATTTCTATCGAATAAATGTACACGTTATACTATTATTTTAATATTAAAATGGCTAAAATTAAATATTTTTAAAATGGTTAGTTTTGGAGCACTATAATCTAGCTGAGGTTTCTAGTTGAAACTTTAGAATTCTGTATGATAGATGGACGTTAGGAAAGTTCGGCGAGTCCTAATGATTCATTTGCAACGAAAGGTTAGCCGAGTGTGTTCTGAATGGCGGAGAAAGGGACGTCCCCGTAACACACGCGAGTAAAGTTATGATGGTTTATGAATACCCCCGTAACGAATGCTACACTAGCCCCATGAACCCCGTGAATGGTGCGCTGTTATGCTATAATACGAAACTATAACACATGATTTTCTATGCTGAAAATTGTTTTACGCCTATAAACACAACCTGCTGTGCAGTGACAGTTGGCACATAAAAATGTAATGACTACTGCCTTTTGCGAGCGTTCATATCGATTTCCTATCTTATGGTTGAAATTCTACGAAAATATCAACGATTTGTTGATATGCAATTGATTTTTTATAAATCAATACTTTGTTCCAATAAAATTTGAGACTTGAAAATTTCATAAAATTATATGGAATTTGAATGTTAGAATAAAATAATTAATTATTTCGACTGTAAACAGAAAAATCACAGCTTCAAATTATAATTATCTTAAAAGTTATAGAAATTTATATGTAACGGAATTTCTGTTGGTCATACGAAGCATGGGGTCAAAGGAGCTTAAAAGGAATACCTACTGACCTTTGTTCTTTGTTTCATTAAGGTCCGTTTGCAACAAATGCTTCGTTAACCTTAAACATTTAGAGTAGCAGCAGATAGGTTGCACATTGCAGTCTAATGTCGAATTCAGCAATAATGCATTCAGGGAGTCATGACGTATCGTTGACATAACTGAGAGGGGGCACCGTAGGTAGCAATTTGTAAGAGGAACCCCCGCAGGGTGGATGGTGTAGAGTCGCATTTGACCCAGGATGCAATATGCTACGCCACTTGATTAAAACACTGCTGCATTTACCATCACATAAAACACTCTTGAACAGTTTCGACCTTTAAGAAAAAAAATAATTTCATTTTTAATAAATGTAATATTAGACTACTGTTCCATTTTATTTAAAAATTAGGAACTTTATTCAGAATTGTAATTCGTGATCTTGCCATATGATAGGAAATCGAGAGATACATTTACTATGAGGTCCACTGCAACACGTAATAGGATGTAGCTGGGTCGCTGTGTAATAGTGTACAAGTAGAGAGCTCCGGAAAGATGTACCAACAGATGGAGGTGTTAATAATTGATAGTCGCGCCCCCTCGTTGATACTTGGGGGTGCGCTGCTAAGGGTTGATGGATATTTTTTCAGGGAGAAGAAAGAATGGCGTACGATGCACTTAATTATTTTGACGAAGCCCTTTGTTCGCCCCTTATTGTTGCTCGAGATGTTCAATACGTCGAATATGTTCGTAAGTTTGTTGATTTTTGTCCAATAAAAAAATATGATCCAACAGAAGAAATCAAAAGGAATCGAGTTCATTTCAATCCCTCTAGAAACGATGTACGCGTTACAATACATTTTTTAATACATATTGTAACACAAGCACTGTCTTCAATTTTTTCTTCATTTATTAATTGGTAAATTAATTTGCGATTTAATACGTTTAGCTAAAGAACAAACTAGGACAGACTTCAAGCTCCTTGGTCCTCGAAGGATGAAAAAAGTTTCGTCTTTCAAAGGATAAATAAGTTAAGTAATTTCATCTTTCAAACAGAGTAACTAGGTTAATAACTTGTCGTCGCTATAATTGATCGGTGTTCGTTCAATGTTAACTAAATACCGTATCTATTTTTATATAAGTCAAGTGTACACGTAAAAATACTAGGTTAATTAGAGTTTAAAAGTTTGACAAGTTTTTACCCCTACGCTCGCTTTGCTTCAATAAAATTGCAGTGATTTCAGAAGGTACTTGCAATTCGAGATCCTTCGATACAGAGAAGTCTGAATGGTCATTCATCAGAGGAACGAGGATTAAAACGCAGTTGGGTGTGATATTTAACGTTTCCAGCAGATTGCGGTTGGATCAGGGTCAGAAAGTGAACGAACCGTGAGAGATAGGAAAGGAAGAGAGGAGGAAAGAGGGATTGAGGGTCCGGTGCGAAGCTCGGACGAGGGCAGGACGACATAATGGACACATTAGTGCCTGGCCTCCAGTTTAATTAGTTTACATTACGGTCGCATCGTCACCACCGCGAAAGGGAAGGCCACAGGTTAGAACGAGAAACGGAAACCAAACGGAGGAGAAAGATGGCGAGAGATAGCGTAAACCAGGCACCGTAGGGGCAAGCTAGCTTGATTAATCGGGAAAGTTTGATGTGAGTTGACGAAGACGCTAATCACGCCTCGTAACCGAATAATACTGCGCACTCTAGCCTGCAATATTCATGAACCGCTCGGTGTACACGTACCAAACGGAATTCATTATCAACGACACTCGTTAAATATCGTCACCCAAGAAATTGGACAGAAAACCTTCGTTCAAGTATTAATATGCTAATAACTAATCAATGATATGCAGATGATATAATGAAATAACGTAACATACATCGATGTCAGTTTACGAGATCAAGGCTTACGTATAGGAAATGCCGACCCATTTCACAGTAATCTCGTAATTTCAGAAGAGAACGTGAAAATCGAGGAAATCGAGGAAAGCAGATATCGAAAGCGTTCTAATGATCGTAGGAGGGTCGGTTTCCGGCAGGCTGGTAAGACAGAAAGAGGTGCGGCATTGCTCATTTAATTACAAATTCCATTAAAATGAATGCCAGTTCAGAAACAAACTCCACATATCTGCATTAAGCCGTGGGACGACACGTCTTAATCAGGTTAATATAAATATGAAATATGCAGCGAGTGTTAGCCCTGGGTTACTCGCGGGTAAAGGGTGGCATGGACGTAGCCGGCATACGTGCGCTACCACCTTACGACTCCTGGGGGGCGCCTTCATATTAACCCTTGCATATTAAGCACACGATAAGCGAATTCTCAAATATTAACGTTGTCACTCGGTACGAGCCGAGGCGACACCGCCTGCTCGACTGATCCTTACCACGCGCCATTTGCCCGAAGACGGATACATCTCGTTGAGGGAATAATGCAGCAACCGTCTACCGTCATGCGTCAATCTTACCGCTTCCTCGTGAATTCTAACAGTGTTTCCTGGGACCACCGACGAAACGATGAGTTCTCGATAAACGTCGCTGATATATGTAGACATTTATACTGTTCCCTGATCATTTTCTAAGGATCAAAGCAATCTGATATTCAACATTTCTCCAAAGTGAACCAGGAGCATATTAAATTATAATAAAATTATTGAGCTGCAGATTCAAAGTTATCTCACAAATTCTTGTATTTATAAAGAAACCGTATCGGCGCGAACGGGAATCCATTTTAAACGACATATTTGCCGACTCGCGGTGAGTAAACTTTAATCAAGCTTCGGGTCTAGGGTCAGAAAAAAAAGAAGAAAAAATTGCAAAGAGAAGGAGGTAAAGGACGTTCAAACATTTCGACGGCTCAATATTTTTCAATATAACCGCAGAGCTCCGTGACTTGGGTCACCAAGGGAAATCTGGCCAGGTCTCCGCGACTCGTACGATATTGTAAATATTAGATCAATTAAGAATTAACAAACGGGTCAGTGTCCATGTCTCACCCATGATCGCGATTGCGAGGAACCGACATTATAAGTCAGGATTTACCGGTGTGTCAGAGCCAAATATCGTGGCACGTACGGAAACGAGGAAAAGAGGCGAAACGTTGAAGAACGGGAAGCGAAGTGCGAAAGAGAGAGAGAGAGAGAGGGAGAGGTAAAACGAGAAATGAAAGAAGGAACACTCGTGCGTGGTCCCAGAGTCCCAAAGCCGATCCTGCCAAGTTATTTAAATTCAAATTCGAAATATCGTCGGGGGTTGCTAACATATTGTTTGTTTCGTTTGGGCCATGGCGATAGTGAGAGAGGGTGAAGGCTATCTCGCGGTCGAAAACGTTCCCCTACCATTCGTTTCCTCTTCGTCAATTGCCACGAGTCCAGGAGAAAAAATAAATTTCATATAATCTGTACTGGATTTAAAGAAAATGTATAAGCTTTCCTCTGAAAAAAGTAGAATTGATACAAGAAATTGAAAAAATGAATTTTGGATCAATAAATTCATGTTCGAAACGTTTGGATTCGTAGGAAGCTGGAATTAATTATAAGTTTGCGTGATGGAAACATTCTAAGAATACTTACATATCATGCGGTATCGTAGTCAGAATTCACTTGTTCTTGTTGCATTTCACACCTTCGCTGTTCTTCGGACTGGTCTGAAACTTATTTGCATACGTGAGTGAAGGCAATATGTACGTTCCCGTAGTTCCGGCACGGCTCAGATGTCATGTTCACGTACGTAGTATTCCCTATCCCTTAACAATTTGCCGCTAACTCGCCGAGGAAACTCACTTGCGACCATTCTGCGACCTGGCACCGTCCTACAGGCCTCTTCAAAGTTTCAAACGTTTCGTAGTCGCAGTCGTAGACAAACGTGACTTTTGTAATCAAATGAAGGAAATCAGAATATTGTCATTCCCTTGTTTAAAAATTACATATTACTTTTAATATCGATATCCTTATAATTTCGAAGCGTATATAGAGTACTGTCTCCACTTTTAAGACCTAAAATGGAGAAGGTCTAAAGGGTCGAGAGGGGCAAGACAAACATAAACTCACATAATATCGTCGAGTATCGGCGAACAAACGAATATGAGACTGTCGCGTGTAGGTGATACAGGTCTGGGTGGCTTTTTAAGCTTTCGCTGCCACTTGTGCGGGTCAGTCTGCAAAAAGACTTAATTAATGAGCAGCCTCTCCCTAAGGACGTCCGTGGGATAGTACAGGGAAGGCACGAGGTGAGCGAGAGAAGCAGTGAGATGACGGAGTACCCTCCGAGGAACGTCCCCCCGATGCAAACTCTTCGTATGAATATGTCTCTGCTAATTCAAAGTTCGTCCCAGAGGTAGATGCTGCCTGTTTACGGCCAGTATTAAAAACTTCAACGTCGTCCGTTTTCGCCTGACCGGTTACACTGAAAAAAGGAATGATATCTGGGAAAAACAGTTTTTACCAGCTAGACCTGTCTTCTTACCGCGATGTTATATAAATGAACATTTTATAAAATTGAAATTGAATTGTTTTCTAATAATTAATCAAATCAATCAAAACTAAGTTTTTAAATAATTACGATTTAAATGAACAATGATCGTTTAATAAGCACATTTTAAAATTACTGGTTGAATTTATTGCCGCTTGATAATTTTACAATCCATTTCTAGAAAACACCGTAAGGGTAGTTTTACGTCATATCGCGCTGTCCCCCGTCTTTCGTTCCTATTCCCCTCGTCGAGTGATATTTTATTTAAGCAATAATTGAAAATTCTACGGTATACGACCAATGGATTTGTCACCAAGGAAGGTTTTACGCGCCCCGTGAATTTCCCATTGCCCTTCCATCTGACACCACCGTGAGCGTGCCTCCTCTTTCTCTTGTCCGCGATCGTAGTCGTAACGTTGGTAGTTGAAGAAGATCGTGTATACGAGTAGTAGTATCACGATTTTATTGACCATCTTACGACAAATGTTTTAGTAATTGCATTGTCCACCTTAAGATCTAGAAAATCCTTGTTTCTTATCTATTTTTATAATGGCATTGAAATAAATATATCTTTTCCGAAATGATCGAATCCCAAACTAATAATGACAGCATTTCGACGGTCTGGTAGGACGAATTCGAAAGATAGACAAGAAATGCGTGGTACTTACGCGGTCGTACGTGAACGAGTACGTGTGAAAGCGTGTGCGGTGAAACGCACAGAGGTCGGAACGACAGTAAGGTCAGGGGTGAGGAGTGAGTGTGGATTGAGGGGACCCTGCGGAGTCGTGAAATCCATCAGACCAGGCTTCGAGCCCCGTTTGCTGGCGCTACTTACGCCGGTGCCACGAGAACGGCATCAACGGGACCGGGAAGACCTGGAAGATGTCAGGGGCAGAAGGTGGAGGAGGGCAGAGGGCCAAGAATAAAATATCATCCACGGTATGTCCCCTTTGAGAACGCGGCATCCTTTCCCCGGCCTCTTTCTATCTTTTTTGCTCATTCGCATTTCAAGATACTCTCTAGCTGGTTCTCACCTATCCACCTTCGCGTATATCCCCGACGCACGTCCGGACCAGAGTGCATGGTTGTCATTCAAATTTTCAATTTCGATCTCTTTGACGCAAGGAATCGTGTCTTCTCCACCAGAGGCAACGGCGCTAAACTCTCAGAGGTACGTCGCTATGATATTTCTAGCTTGTGCTCTGGATAAAGGATGCATGGTTCAAAAATGATAGCAAAGTGGAACAGATTTCTATGGTCGAGTTAGGTTCAGTTAAAAAAAATATTAAGTACAGCAAGAAAAGTGAGAGAACTTCAGAAGAACTAATTTAAAAAACAACGAAGAGAAATAAATATATGCATATGTACAAAGTAGGACAATTAAGTCCCAAGGTTTCCGTATAAAAAATTAATTTTTAATCCTACAATTTTTAGATAGTTAAAAAGTTTTAATGTACTCACCACCTAACTCGACACCCTTGGTCCAACGTCTCCGCCATTATCCAAAGGAGGGAAGGTCTGAGAGTCCTCTGCGGCGAACCCTTTCTAATTAAGTAAACACTGTCCAATGACAACAAATGTTTAACTTTCAATACATTTTTGTAATTTTTACATTATCTTCTCTCGAGCTATTCTGAACTGATTTCAGAGGTTCTTTAACCAACATCAAGGAACAATCCAAAATCCATAAACCCTGGTGCTCGAATGCTCCTTTGGAGGAAAATTCTTCGCCCGCGGGATCTTGTAGCGAAGACGCAGACGAGGGAGAATAGGTGGCCCTTAAATCTGAAAAATTAAATTATATCGCCGTAAAGAACGATGCCCGGGGGTTTAGCGTCTCCGGGATGGGGATGTGCGTTGTATATAGTGTGGAGACCATTGAATAAAAACAGCATTAGTCCGTACATAATGTATGGATGATGGCGACGTGTCTTGTACTCTATCGTACACAGGAGAAGGAGGCAGGGATACACGGAACATCGGACGAGCTAAGGGAGCTATACGAGAATGTTGGGAGTCGTAAAGCATGCGCTTGCTCGCATTTCGCCCGTTATAATAATTTAGTTCATAAAATTTCGGCCCAAACCCAAACCTGCCCGGCCTTCCGTGGGATTTCGTGGACATAGGGGATAGAGAAGTTCATTTGCCTCCGGGCAACTTTGCTTTATGGGACGGATTGATAACAAAACAGTATTAGCTACCACCCTCTTCAAAATACTATCGGTTCTGTACACAAAATTGAAAATACTGCTCCACTGGTATTAGTTTTAGTATCGTTACAATGATAAGGATATATAGTGCCGAGCATAATGGGATATTCTAGGAATATTCTAATAAATAAATGTTTAGAAAGAGGTAGAATTTGAAAAATAAAATCGAGTCAAAAATTAGAAACTAATATCAGGTGTCACAGATTTCCCAAGTAAATTGACAATATTTTGATTAAACAAAGTTGACGGTAATATCGTAAGAACGTCAGACTCGGGAGGCAAATGGCAATAATGCATCGAGGATGATGGGATCGGATATGAAATCAGTGAAAAGGGCCTCGGAGCGGAGGATCAGCCAAGGATAAAAAAAAAAGGAAAAAAAATTGATTAGTAGCGAACCGCGAGAAATACCGATTTGATTTATCAAGCGGGCAATCCTATCATCTCCATACTACAAGACTTTTCACTCCGGGTCTTTGATTAAAATGCGAGCTTAATCATCGCTCTCTGCCGGCATCACCTGGGGACTTCGCTTGTCGCCTCCTCCACTTCTGCAGCAGCCCTCGCTGCGCGAGCTAGAGGGCCTCTTCTTCTTCTACAGGGTTGTCTTTTCTCTTCCTACCATGAGCTTCGACGGAAGCTGGAAAAACCAGAAGGATAATGCATGACGCGGTCTTTTGTTGTTCGCCGGATGACAGAGAGGCAACCAACAAGGCTGACAAGAACAGAAATTTTTTCGGCTTACCAGCTGCCTGTTTTAAGATATTAAAATGTGTCATCAGCTGATGCCTTCGTTACCGGATCGTGATGGATCCTACCTCGGTTCTACCTTTTCACGGTTTCCCGTATCTCTGATGTACAGCAACTTTAATTACAGGAACGTTACTTTATCTTCGATGGAACGTGGGCCGGGGAGGGAGAGGGGGAGAATGTAGGAAATTGCATGAATTACCATACGACGTTATCACATGGGAAATCGATTCCAGACGATTGAAATGAGTCTCCTTTATTTCAGAGAGTAACTGCGTTCAAATTAGTTAGAATCGAGGACAGAAAATTTCCAGAGAAAATTGCTTTGATGTCAGAGTTTTTCATGTGTGTGATGCGTTGACTCGGGAAGCTTTTCGACACGTTCGATGCTGTGGAGGGGATGACATCACGAATTTAATATAATTGAGTAATTGAGAGAGAAAAAATGTAAATGAATTTTAAATAACATTGATGCCCGAGGTATTAAATGAAAAGTTTAATACTAAAGTGAATTTTAAAATTACACACTGGGGTCTTGTATGACTCTAGACAAATTTTGAACTCTGTTCTATGAAGAATTTTGATAATAACGTGTGAAATTTAAGCAAATGTTTCACAACACAGGGGAGGAAAATTGATATACTGTTCGTTAAATCGTTTGGCATTAAAAGCCTCAAATACCGTGATTGCTGTTTGTCGTTTTCGCAACGACTCAACACCGCTTCGTTCCCCTCTGAATGTAACATATCGGAAAAGTTTTGTCTTCTTTTAGTGACAAGTGAAACTCTCGTGGACGATTAAGCAAATTATAAAACTCGTGACAAAAGCATTAAATGTAAACAACGTAGAATTTGCTAATTCTTCTTAAAAAAATAAGCATTGAAATTTAGAAATAAATAAATAAATTCCTAATAAAAAGTAAATTTATATTCTATGGGTAATCGATATTGATTTTTGAAAAAATAAAAAATTCGAGTCGTAGAGGGTGAAATACATCCCTATATAATTGTTTCACATTTCTTTTTTGTCGCAAGGAAAATCATGTTGAAAGGATTTTCTCACGACACAGTGAAACAAAAATCTTCTTTCTTAACTCTCAAACGAAATTCCCGCAGTTGTCTGGAACGGTAGGAGAGGGGTGACGATCGACAATCGTCAGGTTTCCAATTTTCGATAAATCATCTCGAGCGAACGGGGGCGTCAATAGATCGACGGTGGTAAAGCATCGGCGTAAAGGTAGAATGAGACGAAGAGTAGAAAAAAAAAAGAAGAGAAAGAAGGGAGAAGGAAGACGGGGTGGTTTCGAAGCACCGAAAGTGGAAGAAGGAGAGTAAAGAAGGGGTATAGTTCTCCGGATCTGGCTGAGGGGATGGGAAGGCGAAGTAGTAAGGGAAGGGGTTGGGGGGTGCAATTTCCGCGGCTCGTGATTGGGGCAGCCTCCTCGGGGAGCAAAAACTCCATCTACAAATGAACAGCCGTGACAAGAGCCATAATTTCTCGGGGCTGAGCCGCAGCCACCGTGGCTTCTGCCAGCCGCAACCTTCCTTTTTGCTTTTGATACGATCTTGTGTATAGAAGATGCTGTGACTATATAGAAGAAGTCAGATCTTCGAGAATCTTCTCCTTTCGTTGCTTCTGTTAGATAAAATGGACTCTTGGATCACCCTGTAAAAAAAAAAATTTTATTACAAATATATGTCCAAACTATGATTGACCCCTCAAACCTAAAACCTAAATTTATATACCACAAGAAACTATCCTTTAAAATTTTACGATTATATTTACCCAATTCTTCTTTTCCAAATCAAATGCATATATTTTAGAACCGCAGTAGTACAAGTAAACGATAACCGCAGTAGTACAGGTAAACGATAACCGCTCTATTTCCCGACAGGAATTCTTTCACCAGAGAAAGGGCAACTCCGATCAGGGGGTATCAACGTCATGACAGGAGGTATCAGTTCGGATAGAAACGACTTTCACGAAAATTTCTTCCGTCGGCATGACATGTCGATTCTGTCCTCGAGCTGTTCGTGTGTTTCAACGATATTTCAGTTGTGCATTCTTCCGTTTCCTTTAAAACTGTACGAGACGTAGCTACTTTCGTCGGTTCGGTCAATCTATCAGTAGCAATTCCGAGCTGAAAACGGGAGCACAGTTATTCGCGTGAAAAGCAGAAGGTGGGGTTCCATTTTACGGTGAATTTTTCGGTTGGTAATCCTGCCACGTCTACGGAAGCCGACCCGGCCCGTCCCGACCCTCCAGCCTTAACTGGATCACGCCTCGAGGATGATGTATGATTGTACCCGCGAAAAAATTAAACGTACATTTGATAAATAGAGTTGGCGGCAGTGACTGCGTCCGCGACGGGGGTGAAAGGGAAGTGAAAAGGTCGGTTAGACCATGGTACAGTAGCATTGCTGCTGTATAGCGGGGTAACTCGACCTACCGTACCTTTCGATTTTCCTCCGAAATTCACTGTCTCCTGGGACAACCTGCACTCGATGGTTTCATGTTCGAGATCACGTTCCAGTGATCACACTTTACGTAAATCATTAAAATCTTTTAGCACCAGCATAATCGCGCCACCTTTGACTTCTCTTACGATTTCACAAATATGAGATATATTTTCTTTTCTCATAATAATCTTCATTATAAATGTCACGTAAGAGTCAACCTCCTCGGGTGTTTCCTACCCCAAAGTCTGTCAAAGTTGAAACCAAAGTGTCAGATAGCTTTGTTTCTTCAGGAAATAAGGAAACTCAGCAAGGAACGATGTCTGGAATTAATAGGATTGCGAGGCCAATCAAAGTCTACCGGAAGTGAGAAGACTGAGCGGTTAACCCCGCGTAATGGAGGTCAGCTCCTTCGGGGCTGAAACTCGGACTTTGGAAACTGGTCTACCCTCTTCGAAGCGACGAATCAACTTGCAATCGTTTCTGTCGCCTCGCCTTCAGTCAAGAACAATCTAAACATCTAAACGAACTGAAATAAATTCCCAATAACTAATCCTAACTTTTTTTGAAATCTCAACAAAGTGTAATGAACCCCCTCTTACCCTTATGAGACACCCTGGTTCTTCTTCATCAAACACATTTTCTCGGAAATACTAACATATTCATCAACAACAAGTAGTTATAACTAAAAAAAAATTGTACAACCTGCTTCTACGTTTTACAAAGGATAGATTGTAATGTTGAAGAAAGGACGAGGGGTTGGGTGCTTTTTTTCCTTTGCACCTCGATCTTTCTGTTTCCTCGTTTTTCAAGCTAGACGGAGTATAGATCAGATCCATATAGAGAAGCATCCTCTTCGTGCATTCCTCGTTTCAAAGCATATGCAGATGGATAGATGGAAACCTGTGACGTCGGTACCGCCTCGCCTTCGAATCTCCGGAGACGCCGTGCGTCGCGACCTTAAATAATGTACAAGCATATTTTTCTATCGCGCATACACGAAGTCGTTGCCACCTCTAGAAATACGCGATTGTCACCGTCCCAATTTATTTTCGAAACTTTCTAAACCACCAAAAAAATATATTTTAATACTTTTTCAAATACTATAAGAAAAAGAAAAAGGCTCTTCGATTCAATTTAATATGATTTGAAACACTAATTCATAATTTACGATGTTAACATAATTATACTCCCAGAAAGATATAGGAAATTGTTAAAAAGGGCATTTGTTTGAAACAAGTGTTTCGATCGAAGTTCGAGGATACACTTTCATGATTCAGAAGTTTCTCAACTTCTCCAACCGGATAGACGATATTTATCTTCATACCGTTTTAATATCACCAGCAAAAGGTTGCCCGCAGTTTACAGCTTTTTCTTATAAACGCGAGATTCTCCTCGTCTACGCTTCCACCCCTCGCACCATATGCCAGCCAGTTCATCGGGATTAAGTTTCTCTTCGAAATTACTCACTTACCCTCAACTTTGCTTGAACATCGACAATGTATGGGAAAAAGTATTCAAGAAAGAATAATTATAAGAAAAACGATATAAAAAATGGCAAAATCGAAAATACCCTTACTGTAAGATTTATGATTTTAGTCGTGTTTCTAAGAGCTGAACGAAGAACATGTCTACCATTTTGAAACTCGAAAAGATATATTCTTAGTACCGTTTTTCTAGAGACTATGGTTCAAGGGTGTTATCGATAGACGACCTATGCCTCTTATCTTAATATAACAAGCTAGATTAAAATGATTTAAAGGTAAAACAACATCGTGAAATTCCTTTCTGAAACATAATCCAAAGGTGGTCCCTATTCGCGACAAGACAGAGAAGTTGGCGACGTTCTAGATGGCTGCAGCTGCACGCGTTGATCGCGCAGGTGCAAGTGGGCCGGAGCAGTGCTCGACAATTAAGAGCGAGGTCTCTGGAAATTAAGAGTTAAGGTGCATAGGTGGCATCGTCAGAGTGGGGTTCTAGGGGTTGCTGGATTTCACAGTGGGTAGCTGGCTGTGAAGGCGGCACCGGACACGCCCCGGGTGGCCGTGCGCGCAACCACTGTGCGCCTTTCCTTGCGATATTCCACCTATATACGTCTGAAAACCTAGCGCAACCCTGCTATTTCTCTATTCCTGCACTCTCCACCCCTTTTGCACTCGACAGGAGGAACTGGCTATGTACGGATCGGCGCAAACAGCAGTAACCTGGTTGCACCGTCCGCACACTCTGCTCCTCGCGGTTTTGTTAGCAAGCTGCAAAAACCTGGTCGCCATTAATCTTGGTACGTTCGATTTTCTCAAATTCAAGTCTCGGACGACGAGTCGCTAAGATAACAACAATTCAGAATTGAATTAATTTCCAATACCTTTGTTGAAAGATTCGTGTACCAATCCTTGCATACATTTCGTAGGTTTCATCAAACTATGAAAGCAGAAAATTTCATTCAAATCACTGAATAAGGGATGTTATGAGTTAATATTAACCCTAAACAAGGCGTATACCAACGTTTTTCAATTTCACTATCACATTCTTAAAATTAGCCATTTAATGCAATTTTAGATGTTAATTTAACGTGTTCATTTAATTTGTTAGTAATTTAGGGTATAGTCTTTCGAATGCTGTTGCAAGTTAAACGTTTTCTTTATCGCGTTACGACTTGACTTGGTGGCCGAAAATGATCGCACGTGTCCAAGGCGGGGGTGCGTACGGCTTCCGATACTTTTGGGACGAGTTCATGAGGGCAGGAGCCCAGAACGGTAATTACGCGAGTCGGAAAGTCGTCAGCCTCGGTCATAACTTCGTGGATTCCCAGGAGGAAACGGGCGCAATTTGTCGGTAGGCACGAGCAGGAGAAAAGGACTGGTCCCGATTATTTGGGGTGCAGGTTGCACGATGCAAACAACGGCGAGGGACGTTGAACAAATGATGTGCGTCTGTTTGTGCATTCGTCTCGTTTTGTCGATCGTGTACCCCTTGTTTCTACCGATTTCCAGCATCATACGAAATTGCTGTCCGTATTTTAAAGCAACTACGGTTTCTTCTCGCTACGACATGTTAAATTAACGTTCTATCATGACAAATTACATTAAAACTGTATTATAAAGTCATATTTTATCCGTAAAATTAAATGAAACTTGGTGAATTATAAACTTTTGCAAAATTCTAAAAATTATCACAAATGTCTTATCATGAACAACTACACACGTTCGTGGACGTCTGGTTATTTTGTAAATGGAATCAACTAGAATATATACTTACGGAATAATAGTGCTTCATATAAGTAGCCTCGCTGACAGAATCTGCTAGACCACGAACAAAATACTATTTCTTCCTACTTTACTCCCCATTTCCTAACGCAGCTCGCGCACCGTGAAAGGGTAAGTTCCGGATGAAATCACAGTCGTTACCTTAAACTCAATTCACGCTTGAAATTCGCGAGCGATATCGGTCGAGCAACGGTTCATCAATGATTCAGGCGCAATCTCATTCCGTATGATAATCCGTAGTCCTGGAGAAATATTCATCGTGGCGTGGTTCAGTGGCTCTCACGAAATTTCTGATGGTTCTCGCGGCTTACAGCCTTCTTAGCAAGTCACCTGGGGCATCCACCTCCTACACCTCTATTTCATCCTCCTCTGGTTTACGCGTTTACATATCAATCCAGTGATGCACGTATGGGATGTGCAGAGATGAGAAGTTGGCTACTGAAAGAAATGCGGATCTGATTAGTTATACTGCAATGGAGCTATCATTTTGGGTGCAGTCAAATAAACAAGGTCGTTATTGCCATCAGATCTACTAATTAAAGAAGGTGGAGCAAAGAAGTATTCCTTTCTTTCCCTCTACCTTTATGCCAGCCAATACTTCTCGTCTCTATACAGTATATGGTAACGTGATACATGCAGAAACATTGCTCCCAGTTCTTGCCGGACAGGAACAAAAAGTAGGACTGGGAACGCGTTAAGGTGGCAAGTAGAACGCCGGGAAAAAGTTGTGTTTTTCAGAAAAGTTCCTGGTGCTAGCCCGGTGATACGGGATTACCGACGTTTGGGGATGGTACTTTGGTGAGTCGGACACGAGTAAATGATGGATCGTTTTCGTCGTTCCCTGGAATGTAAAACTCGCGTAAATCTCGATCTCTGATGGTATTCTAACGCAAAGTGTGTCTAATGTACTTACTTCGCACTTCTCGGCTTTCTTATACTCGTCAAAATTTGTTGAAAATAAAAAAATTTCTTACCGTTTTAAATCCATTTATATCCTTCCGTCCATCCTGTATTTCCTCAAAGAAGAAGATACCAGAAGTCATCGAACCTAACTTAACTTAATTTTGCTCTAACACAAAGTTCGTACAAAAATGAATTTGAAAATCTTTCCGGATGCGTGAAAGAGTTAAAGTGGGACAGTTTCAGAAACGAAAGATTTCAAAACAAGCGACGATGATCCCCTCGAATCTCTCGAGAATTTCAATGAATGGTGGCACGTAGCTGCGAATCGGGATCTGTCGCGATGTTGTACCTTCTGAGGTTTTTTTTTTTTTTTTTTTTCGGAAGTCAAATATTTGGACGGATCTGGTCGAGTCATCGCGGGCCACACGCACGGTTTTCCATAGGCAAAAAGGTCGACAGTTTTCATGGGATTCGTTGTACTGCACAGCAACGGAAGAAAAGAAACATTGTGCGAGCTTCGTGGTACCCTCTGGGACATGCTCTTCTCCGCCTCGCCAACAGCTGATTAATCGTTCTGGATCTTCCCCGGAGACCTGGGAGACGCATCGAGCGGCTTCTTTGTCGTTGCGAACGCCGTTTCGTGCCGACTACCTATTTTTCGTTTACCGTTGGACGGAATGAACCGAAACAATTCATCTGGCATACAGCTACTCATAACACGCCTCCTATTTGTTACCTTCTCCTTCGAGTATCTTTAAACGGTCCCAACTTTCTGCTGATTCTCAGTGGTAGGATCCAAGTGTTAGGACTACAAATAAACTCCCACATTTATTATCTCTTTGGACTTGGAAAATTATTTTGCAATAAGTCTGTCAAGAAACATAAAAAAATTAGTAACATAAGATTTCAGATAAAATGGTAATTCTTTCATTTAAGAATTTACAAAGGATGATAGTAATGAAAAAAGGTTAGAACTTGAACTGCTAGGGGAATAAACGGAAACGTTAGGAAGAGCAGACGTAGGGTAGTTTGTTAAGCGTTAAAGTTGCCCCTGCAGTGCGGCACATTCGTTGCAGCTTAATTTGTTTATTTGTAGGAAAACGATGGTGGGAGAGGATAGAGAACCGAGTGGATGGGTGAATTGCAGTGCGATACAATGTTTTATTTAAATACGTCGCTGCGATCTCACTCGTGCCCCATGGGTGTCCTGGACGGTAGCTGCCTACACTTAATATAGGAAGCGACAGACTCATTTTTATTTCTCAGTCCCATGGAAACCGACGTGGCAGCTCTTCTTTCTTTCCCTTTCTGTCGCGATTTTATGCGGATATATTTAAATACTAAGAATTTATATCTCAGATTGATGATATACATTAAGGGAGAAATATTTTTTTTTTTCATAATCCTATAGTATTTGAGAGATATAAATTTTGTATGCAAAAATCTATTAATAAATTATTTTTGAATTTGTAATAAAAGCATTGAAAATTTTTTTCAATATACAGTCAAAATTTATAAAGATCCATTTTTCAAAACAATTAAGCATCAAACGTAAATTATTATTAAAACTTTCATTAAAAATTCCTGCAATTGGCTGAATTTTCCTTCTTACCGTTTATATTTCAAGAATCCAGACGATTCAAAGTTCAAGATACTCCTTGATGGAGGGCTCATGGGGTTTGTCATCGTGGTAACCACCTTCTTTCTCTATTCTCAGTGGCGAGGAACGAGATGCCGTTCAAACACATCTCGACCACGGGCAAACACGGATCTTAGATACTCCGGGACATTTTAAATTGGCCATTATACTATTTAACTTGAGGGACCGTCGGGTGTGCACCGAGGTGGAGAAGGCCACAGAGTAAGAGGACCTTCGGTCGCGGTATCTCGAGTAGCACACATGTGATTCCTATTCAAACCAAAGCAAACAGAGTTAACCGTATTTGCTTACGCCCTCGCCGATCTAATGTCTTCGTTCGTTCACCCAACTACGTTAAATTTTCAATCGGACATTCAACAAGGAAAAATCATTTTCCTTTCTCCTCCGTTACTTACAATTTCTCGAACGTCGCCGACCAAGACTGAATTACGGCCAAACAATCTTTCACGGTTTCGTCCAACTTGTCCACGTTCAAGATCGGACAAAACTTTCTGTTCTCTGTTAGATTACCTTCGGAGTTAAGTTCGAGTCGTCTTTCATTGATTCCGCTGTACCGTGGGGATTTCGAGCGTAATCAGGAAAGAGAATTTATAATTATCTTTGCGTATTAGCTTCGACGTTTCGGTCTACGGTGCCAGGCTTAAGATAGAAAGGCATCCTCCGAACGAAATTCCCCAGGAACATGTAAAACAGAAACAAAGGGACAGTCAAATAGAAGAACGTGTAACGAAGGTGAATTAGTAGAGGCTGCTAACTAGATGCATATTCTTATGAATTTTAATGAACACCTTTTCCGGCATCGTTCGAGAAAATTGGCCGGAGACGGGTATGCACCCAGAGCAAACAGAAGACAATGAGTGAAGATTTTTAATCAAGTCTCTTGCTCCCTGCAGCGGAATTAACTCAAATTACGCCGCGCTGGGCCATATTCCCAGCATGGATTTAGAATTCATGCAGTCTTTTCAAAAAATCTCCATTGTCCCTGACATAAGGGAAGTACCTGATAACGAGCATGCCATGATCACGCGTCGTACAAAAGCTGCTTCCTGGTTACGGTTAATTACTACCGTCACGAAACTTTGAATACGGAAACGATTAATTAGCTGTGTATGTGTAGGTTACGTGTGAAACTGACTTTCAACCTATTAAGGGAATAATTGAATACCTTCAATGTAAAGTACAATTTTTTAATTATTTAATACTTTTTCTTTCCTGTTATTGAGGATTGATCACCCTAATGATTACTAAATTTTTTGCTATAAAGAAATTCTAAAATTATTCTGAAAATATTGCAGTAGACAAAAGAATGGCTCAGCTAGGGAAAGGAAGAGGAAGAACAGAACGCAGCTATTTTTCACGTAGCCAGTGTAGAGGAGGCAGAGGGTTGCGCATTATTGCATTGTCCAGTTTGATAGAATCCCAAAATCTTTCAGGTCCTACGACGGAGGCCACGCGAGATGCCTAGCAATGCGCCCAGCGACCATTTTCCCCAGGGCACACGGTAACCCATCAAACTTTTAGCCGGACATTCCCCACCCAATACTCCTTCACGTTGTTCTTCTTTCGTTGGAACGTGCCGGAGAAGCTTGCTTCACCGGTTGCCCGCGTGAGTGGGGTTTACTGTGATGAATATTGCAGGGGGCGCTTATTGTTTCCACTCACAAATCATCCGCCGATGTCTCGCGGGGGGTGTGCCGCAATGTTTTATTCTCCTACGCTCGACAGCCCCGACATTCGAACGTCTTCCCGTCCCGCTTTTCTTCGTTTTCCTCGTTCAGGGATTACGTTGACCAATTGCAAGACTTATCGGTGTCACTTTTGTCGAAGAATTTCCTCGTCCGTAGTGACCGCTGTTGCCGCTTCGGGCAATCTTGTAAACAGCCGTTCGTCATGCGGCATCCCATCGGAAAATGATAAACGTCCCTTGAATTGAATTTTTCTTGGAACGTTGAAATTCTTTTTCTCACAATAAATGACTGTTATACTTTTAATTCCTTGAAAAGTATAAAATTCACAAAAATTCACAGTCCTTTCAATTATTAAAGATACGTTTAAATATTACAGACACTTTGTTAAAATAAATTCAGTAAGTTAAAGTTCTCGAAAGGTATTGTAGTTTACTACAAAAGAAACTAAGTGGAAAAGAACGTGAACTCGTTTCTCTGGCAGGCTCGAACACCACCCTCGTCCCAATTCCGTAACAATAATTTTGCAAATAGCCAACGGAAGCCGCTGCTAAATAATGAAGCATCCTGTCGTCCGGGAAGATTCAATTTGCGGCACCAACGCATGGGATGAACCAAGGTGTATTCTAGCGAGAAAGAAGACGGCCGATAAAGTTACTTGAACTCTGGTAAAGGATATCCGTTTCTTTTCTCTGTTTCGCCGAGAAATTGTACGAAGCAAACAAGAATCACTTGAATTTTCCAATTAACTCGCTTGAAGAATTCACGATGCTTCAAATATTCTATTTAATAATTCTGTATTTGATTAACAGTTAGACGAATACCATCAGAAAGTACACAAAGTAAAATATTATGTGTTTCTAATAATCTTGGCAATTTATACTAACAAATGAATAAAATAATTAGCTCTCATTTAAATACGAATAACACGAACATAAAACCTATCAAAAGGAAGCTGTAGTATTTCGATCCACCAAGAAAGACATGGTTGCACATCTTTTTTCCATGGGGTCGATTAAACTCTTTTCTGGTCGAGGTAGTGGGATATAGAGCGTAATTTGTAGAAGAAAGCCCGACAAAAAGGGTTGCTACCTCTTGGGCATGGGGGATAATGCGACCCTTGAGATGCCAGACCACAGAGTGATCTACAGTGGTCTACCATAACCTCTGTGTATTTATATGTACAATATAAATGTCTACCCTGCTGGTCAGTCGAATGTCATTCACGGAATAGGAATGAAAGAAAGAAAGAAGGAAAAAAAAGGAAAACAGGGTGCGACAATTTTTGCAGACACCAGGAATTAACCTACCGCGAAAAGTATGCAAATTCGGGCAAAAACCAAACTGGTACACTACGCTTACTCGTCTGTCCATCCGGTTTGTTCCCACCCACCCCCTTTTTCCACCCGTTCCAAGCTTGTTACGTCCCTGGCTCGGACTGGCAGACCGAAAACTCATTAACGAATGCAAATGAGCTAACGTTGTGGACAAATTTAATAAAATCGTGCACGCGCAATTAGTTTCGCCGGGAGTAAACACGTTCCATCGTATCTCTCCCCTCTTCGGTGTCCAGAAATCCGCAGCTTTTCACCCTCTCGGCTGAAACGACTACCTTGTGTCTCGGTAAACACGATTAACAATTTTTATACAATTCCTGAGAAACAATTTTAATTACTTTTCGATGGAGAATTCTTTTAACAAAATTTTACTTACAGTAAGAAATTTTTTAACACAGATATTTTTGTGAAATCTTCCCCTAGTATGTATAGATTTATTATTTGACACGTGTATGAAAAGAAGCAAAGAAACGTTCAATCGCGATAGAATTCTAAAATTTAATCGTAGTAACTTTCCATGGTAGCCGGAATATGTTTATGACACTTCTATCGCGATGGTTTTAAAAACTTTTTAATCGGCCCGTTTTGATACCTTGCGAAATCTTGAGTAAAACACGCTCCTCTTAATGTCGAGACTTCTACAACGATACGGTATCCCGTGGGAGCTAAACCACTTGGAATATT